ATGGTACATGTAAGCATATTGCTGCTTTGCTGTTTGGACTTCAACAATTTTGCCTAGGACTGAATGATCGAACAGAGATTGGTGTCACTGATAAAAAGGCTAAGTGGACAAATCCTGTGAGGTCAACAAGACCAGTAAAAATTACTGACCTTGATCTAAGACAGCAACCAAACAACCAACCTCAGCCCATGGCATGTGATGAAGAATACACACCTGTTACTAATGAACAATTAAACAATCGAACTGAAAAAGATATATACAAACTTTTAAAAGCAGAAAAATTGGCTGCATGTGCAGCATATACCCTATCTGATAGTTCTGATTCTGAGTATGAATTTGAAGAAAGTGTGTGTGAGAATGTGACTGAATTTGCTCAAAATTTTTATGTGATGAATCCAAATGCTTCCTTTGAAGAATTTGTTGATGGTCTTAGAGTTTATTTTGACAGAAATCTTGCAGTCAAAATTTCAAAATGTACAGTTGGTCAAAACTCATCAGATGTATGGCATCATCAAAGAGCAGGTCGCATTACTGCATCATCTGTGTTTAACTGCCTGCATTTCAGTGGTCGGAATGAAAATGGTAGCCTTGTTACACAAATTCTTTGTAAAAAATATGCTACTTTAGAATCTAATTGTATTCCTGCACTTGTACATGGTAGGAAATATGAAGCAAAAGCTAGAGATATGTATTTGGAGTTAAATGGGAAAATTCACACTAATCTAAGATATTCCAGTGCAGGCCTGATAATCGATGATGAGCTTCCTTTCATTGGTGCCTCACCAGATGGTTTACTAGAGTGTGATTGTTGTTTACCGGGGTGCCTCGAAATTAAATGTCCATACAAGTATAAAGATAAAAATCCAAAGGAGGCAGCAGCATGTGATTTAAAAAATTTTGAACTAAGAAATGGATTTCCTGTTTTAAGGAAAAACAGTAACTCACCATATTATTGTCAAATGATGTGTCAAATGGCTGTTACAAAACGTACCTATTGTGATTTTATTTTGTACACACACTCAGGAATTTTTTCTGAAAGAGTGTTCTTCAATGGACAAATATGGGAATGTATGAAAGAAAAAATTGTCAAGTTTTATAAGACATTTATATTTCCAAAAATCATCATCAACTGAATTTATTATTATGCAATTTATATTTAAAAAATTAAAGAAATTGTTCGAAACATATCCAAATCAGTCATTTTTTTTCCTACATGCTTTGAATATTGCAGACTTAGTGCAGCATTACGGAACACTGATAAAAAAGATTTGTCCTTCATATAAACTTTTAATCAGTAAATCTGTAATAATAGATATGTCAATATAACAGTACATAACAGATAACACTAACATAAAACTTCCTTCATTCAAAACAGTGAACTAAATAAATATCAAATAAATAATGTGAAAGAATGAACTTTTGGCACAAAATTTAAGTTGTTGCACTTGTAATGTTATAGCACTTGCAAACAATAATCATGGTATTTTATTTACTTAGTTAGAAAATCTTATTTTTTCTGAACTTTGCTGACAAGGGGAGCCATAAAATTACAAAAAATACCCGCTACTTGTAAGGCTTGATTTGCAACAGACAATGATTTTATGTACATAATACCATCAAAGAATTTGTAACTTTTCAGTCTCTGAATTGCACGCTCCACATGAATGCGCAATGAGGCAATGTTTTTCGACTCCTTAATTTGTTTAGATGTCAAGTATTTGCCTTTTCCATACTGACATGGCCGACAAAATGGTGGCATATTCAGCTGGGCTCCCCTTTGAAGAAGGAGGTCATTAATTAGAAATCCGCGATCTGCCATAACATGATCACCTCGCTGAATAAGATCTAGAAATCCACTTCTCAGAGTAATGCTGCGATCTGAAATGTTTCCAGACCATAATTCAGATATGAATGTAAAGGCCCCATTTGGTGAAATCCCAACCAGTGCTTTGAAAGTGTTCTTGTTTTTGTAATTTGACCAAGTTCTGCTCTGAGCTGAAGGATTTCTCGGACGTTGAACAAAGATCTCTGTTGCATCAATTATGACTCTTGTGTTTGGGTATTTTAAACGGAAGGAAAGAGGCATATGCTTTTTTATTTTTTGCCTTGATGGCCACTTAAGTAATGGTTTTAATTGCTGATCTAGGAAACACATCCATGTGGTGAATATGGAAGAAACTGTGGACTGAGACACGCCAAACAAAACTGAACAGAACATGGTGTTCAGGCCTAAACGCAGACGAAGTAGTGCCAAAATGAATTCTTCAAATAACTGCAGTTTTCTTTGTTTACCAGGTCTCCTTAAATTTTCTGAGTGCCACTTTTTTTCATGACTTGATGATCTACGAGTCCAATACTTCATACTGGAAGCTGCGCCATTCAATATGTCGAACAAACCCTTTAAAAACAGAAGAGAAGGCAGCCCAAGAAAAAGTCTTACATGGTTGTCACACTTCGTTAGTTTATCTATTAAAATCTCTCGGAAAAGTTTGTCTTTGTTTTGAAGTTTGGATTCAACTTCCTTTCTTTGTCTTTCACTTTCATTTAACTGATTTTTCAGTTGTGTGTTTTCCTCTTGAAAAGCCACTACCCTCTCCTCAAGTTGTTCACAATGAACCTACAAAGTTAAGCACACATTAAATTTTTTTAAACAAACATTAAAAACAATAGAGAATACATATTTGCTCAAACACCCTGTACATGTATTTATGTGACATAACATGAAATAATTTAAAAAAAAACAATTGCTCTGCTGTAAAAATACCTTCAGATGCCTATTTTCATGTTCCAAATTTGTTATTTGGGTATCAGCATCTGCCCAGTCTGTGTCACTAAGATGAGATGAACCTGACACAGGACTCGCTACATATGGGTGGTCATGTTGCATGATACCAGGTAGGGAATATGGTGTATCAGTTGTAATTGGAACTGTGAAAGAAAAATACATATACAAAAGCATATTTTTATGCATATGAAAATATACTGGTTATGATCTTTTTGGATATATTTGTTATTATTGATTATGCAAGTTTCTTTAATCCAGACATTTCTGATAATAGAAAAAAAAACATAGATAAATGACAAACTTTTTAAACAAAATCAAAGAAGTGTTATGTTTTTAGTTATTTTAAAGAAAACTGTGTCTTCCAACCTTTTCCTCCTTCCTTGTCAGGAATAATGATTTCATGCTGTATGCCTTGATATAACTCTGCCACTGGTACTGGCTGGACAAATACACTAGTCTGTGAAGTCCTTTGTTTTTTTCCTTCAGAGTGACTTTCATTTCTGCACGTAAAATGTTTGATTAACAGTTTTTATTACAACATAATTCATGCTATATAAAAAGATATTTGTGTGTGTGTGTGTTTCTGAATGAAATTTAGATATTGATTATTCATGCAAATTATATTGAATATATTCTTTACGCAAGAAATTAATATGTACTCTTGTTTCCTGTCACCCGAGCTACCCTAACATTTTACCCTGCAACCCTAACTTTTTTTTATATTCATTGGGGGGGGGGGGGGGAGGGGGGGATATTTTCCTGAAATACTAAAGACACCCGGCCAACAATATTAAAAGAGATAATACATATAAAGTGCACAGGATACCTTTATTTTATAAATCTTTATTAATAAACCTGCTCTGTAAAGTGTAAACATACTGTTTTCTTGTTATTACATGATACATATTCTCCATCCATTGAGCTATGAAATTAATTTTTTCCCTACCTACCTACCCTATTTCTTTTTTGGTCAGGGAACAGGAAACAAGAATATATATTTTCGTTTGGCCTAATAATCTGATAATAGAAATATGGGTATCACATTTTTATGTAAAATTATCATTGATCGAGAAGCTAAAATACAAACCCCTGGGAAGATGAAGTACTGTTGTATTTTGAAGTCAACGTTTTCCTCTTTCCTTGACCCTGGGCCTGGTCATGCATGTAGTTATTATATTCAAATAAAGTTGGTATTGGGTTAGTGTCAGTGGGTCTTCCATCTACAAAATGTCTGGAGCATACTGCGTGCCAATGATCTGTGTTACTAGGTTTGAAATTTTTACGACGTACCGCATTTATCCACTGGCGCCGAAGTTTTGGATTTTTAGTTGCGGAAGGCAATACATAAAAATTGACAACATTTCCATTTTTATCTACCATATGCGGGTATTTACTGATCTGTTAGATTTCCTGGAGTCATTGTTACATCCCACGGCAATACAATGGTAATTTACCATGGTTATTTGCAGGTAAGACGCGGTTATTTGACATCATAAGACATGACAAGTTCTGCAGCGCGTCCTTGTTTACAAAATGTTGCCCAAGTTCACGCCAAAAACGAGATCTCGTTAGACACACTAAATATTAAAACCGCGACGGAATTAAAGACGAAATAATAGTTCCGATGTTGGCTATTAGAATCAATCGATCAAGGTGCCGTAAGACAAAGAAGAAAATAAATAGTCTGTCCTCGATAATCTTGAAAATAAATAATCTGTCCTTGACAGGCATGAAAATAAATAATCCGTCTCAAAAAAATTTGCCAGGCCCCCCCCCCCTCAGCTGCTCAGAATCAAATGGTCGTCCCCTTATTATTTTTCAAAACTTGAGGATTTTTTTCATCTCCCATATAAAAATCTGTCGACTGGCCAGGAACCTGTATACTAGGCCTACACATAGATTCCTGGGCTGATAACTCTTTTTTAAACATAAAATAAAGGTACTTCGAATTTCCAATATTAAAAAGCAAAATTTTTCGTTTGTTATTATTTTTTTTAAAGATATCTCTTTTTAAACCATCGATCGTTTGGGCCCACCCCGAGAAATTTGATCATAATTCATGGAATGACAAAACTTTTTTGTAAAATACATTCTTATGTTAATTATGTTTTGATTCTTAAATCACATCTCTATAAATATATATTATTACGTAATTTGTTGTGGAAAATCAACCAATCAGAATGCAGAGAAATAACAATCCTTCTTGGCGAAGCTTATGGGTTAACAGGTTAATGTATTCATGAAGTAGAAGGGCAATTCGGAAACGGGAAATGTGTTATTTGGCTTAAAAATATTGTGACATAGCTAAAGACTGTGATGTATAAAGAAACTGTGGACATAGTTATGCAAAAAGAGATAAATTTTAATATATCAATACGTTCATCAAGGGAATATAAGGACGAAACATATAATAAGGTATGTATATTCAGTCATTGAAAAAATTCAAGATGGCTGTCGGAGCCATTTTGCACCCTTAGCGCATTAATATAGGAACTGTATACAAAAATTCAATAACCTGAAGTGAAAATATTGAAAAATTATTAAGGTTTTTGCAACTTACATGTATCTGACGAGTGCGCATTTACCTGTTTTGATATCTTCGGTGGATACCTGATAAAGGCAAAGTTCAAAGTTATTTTAATCATTCGATCACGTGGGAACGATAGTAACAACATTAATTAAGTGGCGGATCACAGTGTCCTTCCCCCACCTCCATGTGTTATTTGATTACCGTTATGGTTTACTAAGTACTGGGAATGAAGTATTGAAGTTACAAACACATAAAGCATATGTTCTCTTGAACACAAACAATTTATTGATGACATATAAAATAATAAATGATGTAGGGCAAAAATCACATTAACACTGAGGGATCACCTAACTCTGTGTCCGTCTGTCTGTCTGTTAATGATATCTAACATAATATCTTTAAAACTATAGACCTAAGTGATTTAGGTATAAATTTAATATTTTGCACATATTTTCCTTGCACCATCATTAACATTATCTTTGCCTTATCCATGCTATCTTGGTGAGATTCGTGAATTTTGTCGAAACTAAAAGTATTGGACTGACACTTCTTCTGAATCTCAGACGTGTCAACAATGCCTGCCAAAAAAGGTAACTCTGGAAATCTTACCTGAACATTGGCCATATTTTGCTTAATATGTTGCTTAAAATAATTTAAAATTGTTCAAATATCCCTTCATTACTATATATAATTGCATTGGGCCAACTTTAGAAAAAATGTTTGCATGTCCTCTCCCGACTCAGTCTGGAAATATGAAGTTAGTACTGGATAGGGATGTGTTCAGTGTATAGCCAAAAAATTCATCTATAAATTATCAAAACTTCCCCTTTAAAATATGATTTTAAAATGTCATATGATATTCGAACAAGCAATTTTTGATGTCACTCTAAAATAATAGAGGCCTAATGGAGTCACGAGACCTCATCTAAAAATCAATATAATGTTCACTTGGAAGGTCATAGGCAGGTGAAGTTTGCATTATGATTTCTGGACAGTTGGATTTCAGCCAATCAGAGAGCTATGTATCATTCAGTCTTAATTATGACAAGATGCCTAAATATGATGCAAAGCTTAGGTGGTAATAATGAGCTTCAAAGTAAGCAAAGAATGAAGAGAAATAAGACATATTTTCTAATATTTATACTAGGGATATTAAGGACCCTCTCTACACCAGTGCAAAATCTTTTTTGGACATTGAGAAAAATATATTATATAAAAGAGTTAATATTCAGCTTATTTTAATATTTATTTACTGGTAATTTTCACTGTATGGTGCGTGGCATTTACCCTAGGGAAAAATATTCAAAGACAACACAGTATCAGTGAATAAAAATCACTGTTGTTTACTTCCATATAGACAATACATGTAAATAACATGTTCAATTAATTTATCTTGGCATTTTAAAATGTGAAGATTTTTAGAATACTTGAATTAATTACAAATTGAGTAATATACTGTAAATTTCTATTTTTTAGAATTTAGATCTAAGGGCAGATCACTCTAACTCAGAAAAATACCATAGAAAGAGAACTCTTTAGTGTGCAGTGTAGAGAGGGGTCTTAAAGATACAATCCATTAAGGCAGAGATAGTTCAAACATTGCTGTGTTTGAACACTTTTGAGCAAAAGATGTACATGTATTTCAATTTGTTTGAGTAACTGTCCACCACATTGTTCGGTGAGGTGTTGATATTAAAGTATGATCACTTCAAATTGTGTTGAATAATTGCCAATCCATTATCATGTTAACCAGAACTCACAGGTTTTCTTTGTCATTTCATTCAAGAAGTAACTGTTTGATCCTAAATTAACTGTTGTTTATAGCCTCAATTCTAACTTTGATTGCAATGTGCAGAGAAAGTCACATTTTCAAGAGTGATTTCTTCATGAATTGTTTTCAGATGAGTTTAAAGCTGAAAATTATCATTGCACCAAATTGTGATTTTCTGTACATGCTGAGAAAAATGATAATTCAAAAGAAATAATGTTTGCATTGGTAGCTAAATAAAGCTACTTCAGGTAGGTGACCAATGCTATGTAGGTAAATTTAGTGATTCAGGACCAGAACTGACCGGTACATTCTGACATTTGAACACCAATGAGTATAGCTCTTTTGAATTTCAGAAGAGAAGATGGACCTTCCAGGGAATCAGTCCAACTTACTCAATGGTTTACTGGGGACCAGTAGTGGGGCACGTGTCTCAGGTGAGTAGGGGTCCCCAAAGGGGGGGGGGGTAAAGGTGAGTAAAGGGGCAAGGCTGGAGGAATATCGGTGAACTTATCTAATCCCCCACCAAGACAAGCATGTCAGATTAATTGTTACTCTGCACCTGTGGCATGTGACCTCAATATTACTTAAAGGTTCACCATACTGTATGACTGGTCATTGGATACCCAGGTTTTAATTAAAAGCATTGCATGTTTTAGTTGCAAATTTATATGGCACTGTAGATGTTTGAAACTGGGTATCATTATTTTTTTTAGGAATGGTTAAAGAGGAGAATGGAAGAAATATTTTATGCAATCAATCAATGTTCATATATATTTAGCAGAACTGTTAGTGTGTATGACAGTTCTGACAGACTTTATATAGTCAGCACAATTAGTACCAATGCAGAGAGCTGTTAGTGACATACAAGTCTATTGGCATTTAATCAGTGCTTTATATATAAAAGTGCACTGTGAAAATGTAAATGCATAGATCAATGTGTGTTAAAATAAATCAAATTTTTTTAATTTCTACACATTTCACTGGCAAATATTATTGATTTATTGATAGAACGGAGGATAATTTATGACTATATATCTGTATTTTAAAGGATACTGTCATTGACAAACATGAGTTAAAGAAGACCATGCAATCTGGAAGGTACACATTAGGACATGATGAATGATAATGTTTTCATTAAGAATCACATGACTCTAATACACTAGACATTATTTTATTGTGCTGGTATAGACTGTATAGACTTGTACAAATTTAAGTTGGTCTCGCAATTTATCACTTTGCATGACGATTTAATGCTTAGGAGATAAGTATTTCAGTGTATGCTAGGTGTGAGAATGAATATTTTTATATATAAATAGGAATACATTTAAAACAGGAACATATAAATCTGACTCTACATGTACATGCATAACAAAATAATATTGGAGACGGTATCTTACATATATAAAGTTGTAATTATAGACCATGGTATTGGAACCAGTCGTGTACAAGCACATCATGGCATTTTGCTGACATTTTATTGAATAAGGATAAACATGTATCCAGAATTGAATCTGTATCCCACTGGGAGAGAGAGTAAAGTACAGAAACAAATTAAAAACATATTTTAATTCATAATTACACACTCATTAAGGATTTAAAGCATTGTCTCTTATAGCACATATAGCACGTAGTGTATATTTTCAGTTATTTTGGTATATATACATGTGTATCTATAGCTGTATTAGTCATCAATATTCATTACAGAGAACAGTTCAGGTACGTTGTTTTGATGCTTGGTGACCTTTGTAAATGTATTGATGTTTTTGTGATACATACTTCCATTATGACACACACAGTAGACATGGTAAATGTGATGCTGATGTGGTAACATTCTTTTCCTTCAGGAACCTCTACACTGAATGGAATTGTGACAAGCAATATGGAGGGGGTGTCAACAGCACCATCATCTTTAGGTGAGAAGAGTTTTTTAAGTTGAATCAGCAATAAAAATAGACAATATTTTATTTCCAATTAAGGGCCCCCAGAGAGGCATGAAAGGTACATGTGTAGACAAAGGCAATCAAGTAGATAAACAAAAAAATTCAGTAATTTGTATTAAAAATACATATCATATTCTTGTTGTGCTTTAAAATGTTATATCAAATGATTAGAAAGGTACTCTCCAAGTTGAAGTAAGACATTCATATTTTCACATCACATGTAAAAATAGCTCTGACATGAAAGCATTTCATATAAGTTGCACATATATTATTATTAACCAAATAACATATTTTCATTTAATAATGTGCTGCAAGTTTGGCACTTGTACTTAAATGCGTGAAAATTGCAAGCAATGCAAAAGTTTGCATGGATTTAATATTAAGTCTTTGATCTCCTAAACATTATAAGCAAGATGATCATATGACAGTGAACATTCTAGAAGCTGGTGAACCGAGAGGGGTGTCCTCATGCAGTGATAAGAAATATAGATGGTTTTACATTTGAGGGACATTTAAACGTAATGTTGCCTGGAAATCTAAAGGATGTTTTTTTTTTAAACGAAATGATGTCATGTTAATTATCAGCATGCTGCTTTTGGTTTAATCTTTGTGTTTTTTCCCTTCAATGAAGAATTTGATCAGAATCCTGATTTGTTCTGCATACAAAGTATAGTACATGTATATAACATATGTACAGACCAATGTTATCAGAATGATACAGAACTCCTCCTTGTGATAGAAGTGCTCATTAGGGACTGAAATCATGGCAGACCAGCTGTTGTAGAAAGAGGAAATTAAATATAGTTTGTCTAATTATGTATGTTTTAATAGTTTGTTGTTGTGCCTTCTCTAGAGATTAAACATCCTTGTTCGTGATGCAATCCACTCAGATTTTTTATACCATTTCTGTATGGCAGATAAAAGGTGCAGAGTAGGTTTTCTTGAATTTGAAAGATTTAAAGGGCTGTTGTTAATATGAGATGGTATATGATGATATAATACACTGTGTCTGCAGGCTAAATGAATGTGCTGTGGGTGACAGTACAACATTTTGTCTGAGAAGTATAGAAAATGAATAGTTCCTGGGGATTTAGTGTTGTATAAGGTAGACAATATTTGTCTTCTCTCAGACAGGGACCTGTATTACATAACACAAAAGAAGAACTTTTTAAAAAAAAAATCAATGAATGCAGGGAGAAAAATCGATTACATTTAATTTGATTCAGAGTGTTTATGCTGGTCGGTATGGCTGTAGGTGGGGTGTCACTGAATGAACTCGAATTTCAGAGTCGGTGAATGAAACGTTAGAAAAATTTTTGATTGATTTGGATTGAGGTGAAATAAAATGATGTGAGGTGCACTGTATGTACTTGTGTGTTTGTTGGTTGTTACAGATTCGTTATCAGGCAGTATTTGAATAGGTTCAATGATAGCTCCACCAATAACAGAATTTCCTCTCTCTCTATCAGCTGTCGGCCTTTGGTCTTCTGCCCTGCTGCATGGCTATGGGCTGTGTCTCTCTAATGATAAAGACATACTGAATACTTTTTTGATAGGGCAAGTATCATTTTTTTTACATTAAAATTTTGAGGCTTATTAAATACCAATAAATAGAAATTTTAAGCATTCTTTTATTCTAGGATGTCTAGAAATTTTTTTTTGGTCTTGTTTTTTTTTAAATAGTAATTTTGAAGGTAACATATTACATGTACTTGAGTGAAATACGCCCATTTTATTTGTTGATTTTTTTAGTAGCTGTTGTTTCTCAGTTTATTCTCTCTTTTTTTTTCTGATCATGGGATTTCTTTTCCAACTTCTTTTAATCTATAAGGAACTTTTTTTTTTTTAAATCCTATGCAATTTTGAATTAAAATCTTCATTATTTTAAATTAGTGTAATTTAAAAATATGTGTATTGTAGGAATACCAAGTGAAAATGTTACCTTGATTTTAGAAATAACAGCAAATTTGTAAACTAGTAGAAATTTTTATTATTTCTAAAATTAAATTAAAAAATATCTCTAGTAATTGAAAAGAATATTGTGAAGTTATGTCTTGGCATAATATGTTTCCAAGTGACCCTGATATTGTTTTGGGCACCATAGTTTTAGTAGATTGAAAAATTAATTTGATTTTTTATTTAAAAATTGGCCATTTTTTTATTAAGTTAATGAAAACAAGATCTGTTTCTTGTTTTTGTAATTCTCTTCTCCAAATTTTGATAGTTCAGGTTAGTGTTGTAGCCTATGGGCCTCTTAATGTAATATAAAATAGAGGAAAGAGTGTAGCATCTTTTTCTGAGAGAGAAAAAATGACAAAACACCAAATGATATTGTTTTGAATGTACCTCAGAAACCAGATAAGATATTGTTTGTTGCCCTCAAGGTCTGCAATATCAATCGAGAGAGTTCGATAAACATGCACGGAGTCATTGATCCTTTGTGCTGAAGTGTGTTTATTGAACTTCAAATGCCAAAGTATAGAGAGAACTTGGGACAGAGTCGCTCTGAGCTTCATCACGGTTTATTCGACTTTTGTCCAATGACACACTGGTGATTCTTTTGCGTTTCTGTACCCGCGGATCATCTACTTTTATTCCTGAGTTTGCTTTTTCTGAGCACGGAATTCACGTGTCGGTTAAATATGGCAGAAGCCGTGTGTTACCCAGTAACAAGGCTTTCGTCAGTATTGTATTTGGCAGAGAAAATTTGGTTAAGTGATACAAGGTATATGTGCAGTGTTGGCGTTCTCTGCTCCAAGGTCAATACTAACTAATAAGTATCCTCCTCCATGTTCCATGTTCTGCAAACAGTAGTGTGCTGTAAACATGGAAAGATCAAACAGAACTATGCCCAGTGACCTGGCTTCTTTCTCGGCCTATGGGTGATCTATCAGTAATGAAGATGAGTAGTATGTGTTAATCATCATTTAGAAAACTTGTAGTTGATTCTAGTGATAGGAGGAAAATTGAAATTACTCTTTTAAAGTGTTCTGTGAAAATGCTTCAAAGTTTGTAATTTTTTTCCCTACTCATCATTATGAGGTGTTCACTACGGGAGAAATGAGGAGAATACACATACCAGACATAATGGAATGTGAGTTGTAAAGCACAGCTGTAAGATTTGCTAGTCCTCAAATGCACTTGAAGATGTTTATCTCGATGTTTTGCATAGCCTAATAAAATTGTCTGCTAGCTGTGATTGCATTGAGAGACTCATTTGTATGCAGTTTTTTCATTAATGGTCTTTATTTTGTCTACAGATAATATTCATAGGTTGAAAAGTTCATGTTATTTTTTTTATTTTTCTGAATGTTTTCTGACAACCGAGGGTTTTTCATCTGATAAGATCTTTGAAGACGTGCTCAAACCAGACAGGTTTTAAAAGCTAGTGCACTGATCAAAACTCCATTCAATTGATTAACATTAGGAATTGAAATTGATTTTAGCGCAGTGTTTTAACAGTGACCCAAATGTTTCAAAAATAGATCTTGGCCCATATTCATAGTATATGCTTAGTATTTTAATACGCAGTGTTTACCGTTTTTTTTATCTTGGTCAGTGGGGTGAAAAGAAGGATAGGCTATCTGGGTCATTGTTCATAACTGGCACAGACAAATGCGATTTAAAATCAGTATGTGACGCAGATGGTTGAAACACCTATACAGTGCAGTAATCTTCTATGTTGTAGGAACAATAGGTTGTAAGAGATGCCATGTATAAACATTTCAGTAAACGGATTTGCATAATGCGGCATATTTATAACTTCCTTTTTGAGAGAAGACATACAACAGTATAAAATAATCAATGCTTACACAAGATAGCACACGAATATATGCTTCAATTTAAAGCGCTAGTTATTGTTTCTGAATGAACAGAAGCTAAATTTTATATGGGAATCCCATTTGTAATCCTAGTAATAAGAAGTCAAGCATGAAATAGAACAGCAAGAAGTTGCAAGCAGACATAAATTCTTAACCTAGAAAGTGTTGGCCCTAATTCTTCACAGCTGTTATCTGCAAAGCAAATGAAGTCAGTCCAATGACACATGAACTCACTGTGGCAAGTACATGTACTTCTGATCTACTGGTAATAGTCAAGAACAAAATGACAGAGATAGTTCATAGTTGCTGCCAAAGTTAGGTTATGTCAGCTTACAGATGTTGCTGTGATAAATTTGGCTCAAGATAAAAATGATGTGACATCAACCTTTGAGTGACTATAAACCATTAAGATTGCAACACCGTTAAATTTCACAGTAGAAAGAGGTCAATTATCATGATTTATTGGTTAAGTACATGTCCACTAGCTTGGTCACCAGTGTACTATGGGCCGACAAGGTGGTATTGTTATCATTGAGTTTGGTTGATCTCTTGATCTAAGCTTCGTAATGTTATGACATTGTGTATTAAAAGTGTGTCAGAGTGACCAAATTTGGTCAATAGGTTTGTTGCAGGACAACTCTCTCCCACGTGTTATAGGTCACTGATTTCTGTTTGTATGAGTGATTGACCTTGTATTTCATTTCATTCTGTTTTAAATTTTTATAAAAACTTTGTTTGATTTAGTGAAAAGGAACAGATCGAGAAATATGTTTGTACACACAGGTCATAATGCCTAATTTGTTACTGTTTGACAGTGTTATTAAATCGACTGGTGGGCCTGGCACATTTAAACCTCTTTCTGGTCTTATAAATGATTTGAATTAAAATGAGGTAATCATACCCTAAAATGTGCAGATGTTTTATTAAAGATATTTCTTGGAAATAATAATTATCTGCATAAAAATCCATCATCATTACCATTGCCAAGGTTTTAATTCTTGAGATAATGCTAAAGGATGGGGATTTGCTGTTGATTGGTTAGAGTGAACACAGTATAAGATGTTGGCCAATGTCTGTTTGTCAGAAGGATCCCCTTAACAAGGGTAACACTTCAGGAAGCTTATTTTCCTCCTGAATGCACAGGAAAATTCTTCCAAAACTTTCATAGGAATAGTATAAATTCAGTTATTATTCAAGGTGTATGCCTCGTAAAAATCAGGGGCTGACAAATAGATTTTTAAGGCACTTGACCAAGGGCAAGTACATGGTCAAAATTCACTTGCCCTACCTGAATTTTTGCCTGCCCTACCATTAAATTTTATATGTATTTTTATATATGATTTATATATAAAAAATACTACATAGGCGTAGAATATTGGCATAGATATTGATATATTAGTTTTGATAATTGATTATGTTATATTTTGTTAATATCTTACTTAATTTACCACGGTGCAAGTGAGAGACTTTTTACTTGTCAGTTAAAATTTCACTTGCCCAACCCTAAAAATTCACTAGCCCCGGTAGAAAGGATACACAATGGGATTTGTCATCCCAAAAAAACCAGAAAATATTCTTTTTTTATAAGGATAGAGCCCATCATAGCGAGCCTTTACATGTAAACACATCAATTTGCAATTCTTAAGAGAGCTAAAATAAGAGGATAGAAAATAATGATTAGATTTGTTATACTTTAGAATGGTGCAAATATGGATACATAATATTAATAATTTTTGGATTTTTCAAATGAAATGTTTTTCTAAATGAATATCCAGACTAAAGTTGATGGATCAGGTTTGATCTTGAATATTAAGCCCCACATGGGCAGTAACTTGGCAAGAGAACAATTGTCATTTCATTTTACAAACAGGAAAAATGTGTTCGACCTGAACAGTTTTTCAGTCATTCTACAGGAATTTCCCAAATACATTCGAAAGAATTTAAAGGAATTATGAATAATCTGTGTACCGGTATAATATTTCAATTGTTTTCATCCAACATGTCCAAGGAAAGATCTTCTTGTGATCTTCATTTGCTGTTTATAAAAATGTCTGAGCAGTTAAAAAAATTACTATTTATATGCATTGAATCAGCAGAGTTAACATGCAAAGAAATTGGTAAAATACATTTATTTATGCTGTGTCACTTGATTTACTGTTTTCCAGGTCTGTATCAGTGACAAAAACACAGATTTTTCAACAGCTTAGCTATCACTTCATGCTTGATTCAGAAGCATTTTGAGACATTACATTAGACTGATTTATTCATCAGCTGCATATCCTGTTTAGAAAAAGCCAACCTGTAATGAAATAAAGTATTGTGTATTGATTATAATTTTATAATTAATCTCCATTTTGCAGGGTTGACTGCCATACAGGTGTCTGGAACCAATGGGATAATTCTCATAAGCCAAATGACGATTTAAGCATAATTTTTAGGTCACCTGAGTAAACTCAGGTGACCTATTGCTATCTGTTTTCGTCCGTCGTCGTGCGTTGTGCGTTAACATTTGAACATTTTCAGCTTCTTCTCTGCAACCACTGAACCAATTTCAACCAAATTTAGCACAAAGCATCTATGGGTGTTTGTGAATTTCATGATCCCTGAAAACCACTAAAATTAATGTAATCTTAAAAAATCTTCTTCTTTACTCCTGGACATCAAGCAGTCAAACTGTTTGCATGATTGTAATCAGCACCGAGTCCTCTACCAAAATTGTGAAATTCATGACCCTGGGGTCAGGGGTTCTAGTGCTAGGGCGGGGCTAAATAAGTATATAGTGAAAATGCATTATTTCTTTGGCTCCTGGGCATTAAATAAACCAACTAAGTACATAGTTATGATGAGCAAGAGTGCCTCTACCAAAATTGTGAATTTTATGGCCCCAGGGTCAGGGTTTCTGGTGTTAGGGCGGGGCTCTATTGATTATATAGTGAAACTACATGAATTCCTTGAAAATCTTTTCTGCTCCTGGGTATAAAATAAACTTTAATACTAAGTGCATAGTTATGATGTGCAAGAGTGCCTTTACCAAAATTGTCTGGTCAGGGGTTCTGGTGTTAGTTATGTATAGTGAAAATACATGAAAAAAATATTAAATAAACTAACTAAGTACATAGTTATGATGAACAAGAGTGCCTCTATTTTGAATTTTATGGCCCCAGGGTCAAATTGATATATAGTGAAAATACATGAATTCTTTGAAAATCTTCTTCTCTGCTCCTGGGTATTAAATAAACTAAGTAAATGCATAGTTATGATGAAAAAGAGTGCCTCTACCAAATTTGTGAATTTTATGGCCCCAGGGTCAGGGGTTCTGGTGTTAGGGTGGGGCTCTATTGATTATATAGTGAAAATACATGATTGAATTCTTTGAAAATCTTCTTCTCTGCTCCTAGGTATTAAATAAACCGACTACGTGCATAGTTATGATGAGCAAGAGTGCCTCTACCAAAATTATGAATTTTATGGCCCCAGGGTCAGGAGTTCTGGTGTTAGGGCGGGGCTCTTTTGATTATATAGTGAAAATACATTAAATCTTTGAAAAATTTCTTCTTTGCTCCTGGGTATTAAGCAGATGAACTACCTATGTAGTTATGATGAGCACTCTTTAAAAATTATAAATTTTATGGCCCCAGTCAGGGATTCTGGTGTTAATTATATAGTGCAAATGCATGAAATCTTTGATAAATTTCTTCTTTGCTCCTGGGTATTAAGCAGAATGAACTATATAACCTATATAGTTATGATAATCTTCCAGAATTGTGAATTTCAAGGCCCCAGGGTCAGGGGTTCCATAGAGGGGGGCTGTATGTATATACTGAAAATATAATATATAATGAATTGTTTGAAACCTGCTCCTTGGTATTAATCAAATATTTTTGAAAAGCAATAATGCCTGTACAAAAATTGTGCAATGTGTGGAGCTAGGCCTAAGGGTCAGGGGTTCATGTGTGGTAGGGACACTACTGATTATTGCTGAATATTACTGATTAGTTGAAAAGCATTTTTTGAAAAGCAACTGTTAATAGTTATGATTCTCTTTCAAAATTGTGAATGCCATAGCATCTGGCTTAAAATATGAATCAAATTCAATGACTGGAAAGTTGTTGCATAATGCTCAGTCCTTTATATTAAAGTTGACACTTTCTGTTTTGCCATTAGATTTTAATTTTTAAACAACATCTTAGAAAGTAATAATGCGAAAATAAAATTCTTGCGAATAAAAAGTGATGTACAGTCCTGTAATTTTTTTTACATAAAATTAATGTCTTTTGACAATACATCTATTTACTCATCTCAGTGGAATTGAAATTTCAGTATATTTTATGAACAAATGGTACAACAAAGAGTCTGTAATCAATAATATTAATATGTGCCTTTTTATTTATCCTCATCTTATTTTTATCACCAGCTTTGCCTGTATCCAACCCTGCCCAAGATGTGAAGTTTTCACCAGAGAAACTGGAAGGTATGAACAAGTTGAAGGCCCTCCTGACCGCCACCCCTCTTAAGGTGGCTTCCCCCACATCTTCCTCTGGAAATGCTGGGAATGTGTTCAAAATCCCTGGTGTCACCTCCCCCATCCATTCCCTCTCCATCAACACAGCTGCAGTCCAGCCTACTCTCACACAAGTCTCCAGTCCTTGTACAGTCTCTAGTTTAGGGAGCTCTGATGTGTTCCTCAGTAGCTCCAGTAATTACGGAGAAGTCAGGACGTCCTCGGATATATTCCTAAATGATCACGGAAACAGCAACAGGACACTGACTGTACAAATGGACAGAGTGGATTCTACCACAAGTGATTCAGTGCTGTACCAACAGAACCCTCACAGTTCTCAGTCGTTCATGAATTACAATGGACTCACATCAAAGGACGAATCCTCACAGGACAAAGGGTCTGTGCTGCATAATCTTCTGACCAGTGGGGTGGACTCTTCAATGATTGACAGTCCTACATCTAACTGTAGTCAGCTAAGTCCAGAGATCAGAAGCTCCATGTCATCCCCTGTGTCCTTGTTTGAGACAAATACACAGTCTACATTGATAGCTAAATCAGAACAGCTGCGGATAGAGCATGGCGATGATGTGAAAGTGGAAGAATTTGCTTGGGATACTGTGGATCACGAACCAAACAAATCACTAAAAACTCACAGGAATTCCAACGCTGGGACTTCATTAGCAGATTCTGAACCTGATAGTTTGTTTGATGGCGGAAGTGCGACGGCCTGCACGACAGAATTTACTTTTACCAAGTTTGGGGCAGATGTATCTCCAGTGTTTACATTCAGTGGAGAGAAAGATGACACTGACTGTACATCTTCTGTAAGGTACTGTAACATTTGGTTTCATCTTCTTGACTGAATATTTAATTGTAATGATTATTTAAGATATTTCTATTGTCATTAAGCCTCAAATTTGAGACACAGTTTTCAGATTTTTAATTGACAATTTTCAAATGTGTTTTTACAGATAAATTTTTGACAAAGCAGACTTCATGGGTGAAAGACCTGTTAAAAATAGGTACAAATCTCATTATTTTCAATTTTTGATGGAGATAACTTTTTGCTATTTCAGCATAATATCTTCCTTGAGACCAGACTTTGAAGCAGACGAGGTGAACGTCCCTGAGATCACACATATACAGCTTTCTCCTAAAGTGGGTACAAATCATGTGACTCGCTCCCGTCACAGGCTACGAGAACTCTCCCTGAATCAACAATTCCCGTGTCGCGTGCCTGGTTACGAACTTCAGATAGTGGACCAGCCTGAGGAACAACACAGAGCTAGATATCTGACGGAGGGAAGCAGGGGAGCTGTCAAAAACAAAGCCGGGGATGGACATGCTATGGTCAAGGTACAAAACTCCTACCTCTGTTTAAATAACTACAGTGAAATGAACTATTTCCATGGTTGTTTAATTTCGTTATTTTCATAGAATGAAGTGTCAGACCCACGAATTCATATCCCAGTATATTTCGTACTGCAGAATGATATTTCTCCTTTAACCACAAGATTTAATCCCCCAGACCCTGTTATTTATCATCAAACCATGAAAATTGGACCCCACAAAAATAAGTGATTTAACAGTATTTGAGAAAAGAGAGAAACTTCAGAGATAAAGATTTTCTGGAAAGGAAATTTTAAAAAAACACTATATGAATAAAAGGTTTATATGGAAATCCATAATTTATATACTTGTATATGGCTTGTCCTGTTTTCAGCTGATAGGAAAGGTGGAATCTGCTGTACTGTGGGTGTTTGTGGGCAATGATTCAGGCAGAGTGAAGCCACACGGCTTCTACCAAGCTTGTAAAGTCTGCGGAAAAAACTCTACACCCTGTCGTGAAAGGGACATCGAGGGAACAACTGTCATAGAGATGAATATGAAGGCAGTAGAAGATATGAGTGTATCGTAAGTACCAGTAGTAATATTGCAGTTATCAGTTATGACCAGAATTAAACTTTGTTTTGTTTATTGTAAGTATATGGAAATAATAGACATTTATATTTAAAAGGTTGTTAAAAGGAAATGGAAAAATTTCAAGCACTTGTTTTTTAGGATTATTTTCATATAATTTAATTTAACTTGTAACACGTCATTTGATTGGATAAAAGATTTTATCCATTTTGTATAACATAACTTGCCTACGTCACAATGAGTTACGTCAATAAACGTATTACTCCGCTTGATGTTACTTTTAAAATCTAATCAATGTGAAGCCTTATTCTGAGGTGAAAATTGTTTCATTGTCTGCACTGAAATTACATTATAAGGAATGAAGCTTATTTCAACTTTTATTATACGATATAACAAAACTTGGGGCAGTTTACCCTTTTTTATAAACCGCTTCGCGGTTTATAAAGCGTAAACTGCCCCAAGTTATGTTATATCGTATAAAATAAGTTGAAATAAGCTTCATTCCTTAATAAAAACCAATTGTTTTCATCAATGAGTCATATATTTCAGCCACAACTCATGCCTTAAAAGGCACTCGGTAATAGTGCATCATGCTTTTTTTTAACTAATATGTGCTCAATATGAATACACCCACATAATGATAGTCATTATACTTGTATTTATGTGTATTTTACATTTCCTAGATTTTGTTATGTTACTTAATTTATACTCTTCAAAAATAAAAGTATACCAAGGAAATTTACGTTTAAGTCAGTAGCAAGAGAGAAAAGAAAATTCGATCTGCTAAGGAAAGTTATACTGCAAGTTTACTTACTTTCTTTCAGATATAAAACAGATCACCAACACTTTCTTACATTGTGTTATGGATTTTTTTAATTTTTTCGTTTTTTGTTTATTGTAAGTACATGTATATGGAAAAAATAAAACTTGTATATAAAGAGTTGTTGAAAGGAAATGGAGGGAAAAAACATCATTTTGCTGTTCACAATTTTAAATATGGTTATAAAGATTTTTTTGTCAGAATAAAGTTAAGTCTGCTTGTCAGATTTGGATCAAAGTTAATAAATTATTAAAGGTTATCATCCATTTCTTGGAGGAAGCATTTTAAAATGTATATAACTCTTTTTTTTTGGAAAGGGGGGGGGGGGGTTCAACAATCATGTTGCTTTTTTGAAGGTGATCTGCAGTTGAATTTATATATGGAATTATATACATAAATGTGATTCATTTTCTATAGGGTTGACAACGTAGGAATTCTTAAGCTAAGAAATGCTGATGTTGAACAACGAATAGGACTGGCCAAAGCCAAGAAAAAGAGCACTAAGGCTCGCTTGATATTCCGTGTGATGTTTCAGAAAGCTGATGGCAACATGCAAACTCTGCAGATTTCCTCCAATTCCATACTCTGTAGTAAGTACATAAATGAGAGGAACAATTATTTAAATTTAGGAGACATGATACTTGTTTGTAGTCAAAGTTGAATGTTATAAACAGTTAGTACATTTAAAAATAATTATAAAATTCATGATGGAGACTATTTTTGTAACAGTCAGCCCATTGGTCAGCCTGAGATCTGTAAAAAATCTATCTTTATAACAGCTCAGCCCATTGGTCAGCCTGAGATCTGTAAGATTAGTTGCCGGGAGTCCACCGTGGAGGGCGGAGGAGAGATATTTATCATCGGTAAAAACTTCATGAAGGGGACCAAAGTTTTCTTCCAGGAGAGAGAGGATGACGACGAAGAAGGAGAAATCACATGGCAGAAAGAGGCAGATATTGATAAAGATTACTTCCAGCAGGTTAGCTTTTTAAAGATGCTGTCATTGCTTCAGAATCAATTTTTCATTCATCATCATTTTTCTTTAAATGATCTTACATGAAATATGGAGATAACGAACAGTAATCAAGTTGAAAAGTCCATTGTAACAATGTAAATCAGTAGCAAAGCAAACATGGACCTCAAAAAAGTGAGAGATGGGATTAGGTGCCATGAAGGAGTAAGCATCCCCTGCAATGATATTCAATAATTTTGAACAGTAGGGAAGCTAGTATTTATTTTAAAATTTTGCATCTGTTTCCCTTTTGATTATATTTGATTCTTAATTCTTGCAGACTCATTTAGTATGTACTATACCACCATACCATAACCTGGAACTTATCAAATCCAAAAAGGTTCAACTGGTTGTTCATTGTGCTGGTAAGGCAAGCGACCCCACCCAGTTCACATACACTCAAGGTAAGGACACAAGTTTCAAAATCTCCCTCCTAAACCTCATAGAAATGATGGTCAGTCTGAAAACCTCCTTTGGGCAGTGAGGGGTAAAGGTATTCAGTTAATTAACAAATGTTTCGGGGATTAATGATGTAATGTCTCCTTATGACATAGAAAGAGTGGCACAAGTACCATTACAGGTGTCATTAGTGAAGATAATTCAATTATTTACTATTTCATAAGAATGCTATGATAAGGATAAATGGGAAATGGAGAGAATAATGAATAAGGTGTAATGGGTAAATGGTTAATCTGAATGTTTTCTTGTTGGTATCAACAGTGCTGGCAGCAGTACGCCTGATTGTGAGAACAGTCTAGCTACAACTAGAGTCACTTCCCTTGCTTTGCTCTTGCATGTAGTTGAACCTTGAAATGGAATTGAGACTAAATTAAGGCTAAAATCTTACCAAAAAATTGAAATTGCTGTCTATATAGCGCTGATGCGAACACGAAGGCAAAGCTGTACTTGTAAATTGCTGCTGTGTATATATTCAGAACCCTCATAGCTCGAAGGAGGTCACACGTGTGTTGTGTCTCATCTCTCAGTGGTTCTTGCTGACCCTTAGTGGCAGAAGACCACCAATTAACAAGTCCCATTTACAAAATTGATGTTCGGAAAAGAAGGGGGATGGGATACTTTTTAGAAAAAGCCCAGAGAACAGCCCACAAGACTGACAGATTAGGAACCATCCACATTTTCATTTAAGTTGAGGAAATCCTTAATTCAATGATAGGTTCAGAAAATGCCACAATATGGGTTTGCTCTCAGAAAGAGTGGTGCATTAAATGTGAACTGGAATTACTTGTTCATTTTCTTGCCAGCAATTGTGTAAGAAATATTTGAAAGAGAGATGGTTATTGTATTGTTTCAAGTATGATTTCTTTACCATGTTACACTAGTAATAAGACCTCTGTGTTTAGCTGAAGGCATTATTCCTTTTGTCTGCCCAAGGTTTTATTTCATGGTCTTGATGATTTTTTTTTAGAATCTCATTTTCTTCAATTAACAATATTCTGTACAGTGCGAGTGTGTTAATGACTTGTGATGAAAGGAGATTCAGAATGCAATGGTGGTTTGAAAAAAAATTCAGAATATGGTGTCTTTTTTATCACTGGAAACTATAAAGGTTATACTAAGAGGTGGTGGATTTAACATTTGTTTCTGAAAGTTCATGTCCAGTGTATGCAGAATGGAGGCAGGGGTTAAAACTTGGAACTCTTTTTTGTGTGTGTGGCATGTGAGAGATGAAAGTAACAAGGGATGAAATTTCCGATTCTGGGTTCAAGTGAATATTTGACGTGTCAGAGTTGTAGGCAAGACAATGAATGGAGGAAACCAAGCTATTCAGATTGAATTTTCTCTATTCTTTATATTATTTCTTAACTTTTGTGATTGAAAGATGGCGTGTGGATGGTTTCTGATGTGTAATCAATGATCTTTCATTTTTAGATTGGCATCCGTGTTCAAGCACCATGTTCAATATTGATATTGATATTAATAATGCAAGAATTAGTTTTCAGCATTTTCCTGCCAAATTTTCAGACTTTACTTATTGAAAACCATGTTAATTGAAAATCTTTGAAAATAGTTCATGAAAACGCATGTTTATAAAATTGTCAAGGAGAAAGAAAAAATATCAAGGGGGGGAAGTTTCAATTTAGCTTTACAGAGACAACTGAAATTTGGATTTGGAATTATTTAACTTTAGAATTGTACATGGATTTAGTTTTTAAAATTCACATGATAAATTTTACAAGCCAACAGAACAAAAATTGGGCAGGAAAATTTCTGTTTCCAAATGTGTTCTGTACAGGGATGCCTATCAAGAATAAATTAGTAACTTTTGTGTGAATCCAGGATCGGGAACCATGAGGTATTGTAAGGAAATATTTCACTTTTACATGCATATTTTATGGCTGAAAATGTTTTTTAAGTTTTTATGATTGTTAATTATGTCATTTAGTACATAAATGTACTTCAAATCCACAGATATAGCTGCAGCACCATTTTTTCCATCTCGTTACCACTTAGTGAAAGATGCTTTTTTTTTTTCCTAAGAATGTTTTTTTCCTGAGTTTTATTTTTTTGCTTTAGTCTTGAAATTTTACGTGAATGATTAATTTTACCATTTTCTTCCATTTATACCTTTAATAATTAATTACATCTATTTATAATCATTCAGAGTTTTATCTGTAAAAAGTAGGGCTGGGTATTGGCCGGAGATTTCGTATTGCGATATATTGCGATATTTTGAACTGTATTGCGATATGTATTGCAATATTTTCAACGTAATAAAAATGGCATTTTTTCACTATATTTACTTAAGAAATAAGGTATCATTTTTTGAGTTTTATTGAAATGTAAAACGGGTTGATCACGTGATCAAATCCCATAAAGCCCGAAGGGCTTTATGGAAGATTTGATCATGTGCCAACCCGTTTTACATCCCAATAACACTCAAAAAATGATACCTTATTACTTATATTTACATTTGTGACTTTTTCATACTTTAAATTTGCCTGATAGTGACTTTAAACGTGTGAAAAGCATTATTTTTCAAACCCAACGGCAAATCCACTGACCGCGCGTCGACCCTTTATGACGTCACAGAGAAATTACGTCGAAAGTTTATCCATACGAACATCTATGACCTCTTGACCCCGTACCTGTATTTATACAGTTATAAAAACGCTTGCTTTCAGTAGTGTTATATAACGGAAAACATTTGCAAATGTAAATATTTTAATTTACACGCAGAATGTACATAACCAAGATAAATAACCTACACGGAAAAAAATCTTGATTTCTTTAAGTTATGCTCTGAAATGCTCCCACAAAACAACTTCTGTCTTAATGTTTGGCTTAATAACAAACATTCATAAGTCCATTTTTACATTTAATGACAAAATTCCTTAATCTAAGCATATTGCCAATATATCGATTTTACAAAATCGTATTGCGAAACGATATTGTTTGTCATTGTATTGCAATATATTGAAATATCGATATTATTGCCCAGCCCTAGTAAAAAGTCACAATTCATTACTGTAAATCACTTTTTATTCGCGAGAACTTTATTTTCGCGTAATTACGCGAGACGGTATGCTCGCAAAAATTTCATTCTCGCGTATAATAGAATTCCTTAAGATTATATAGAGCAATGACCACAATTCGTGGAAATTTTGTCTCGCTAATAAATAGTCAATGACTATCTCGCGAAAATAAGGTGTCGCGAAAACTAAGTGATCTACAGTAATTTATTTGAAAACATTTGCATAGAGTTGAAGACACTTCTGTTCATTAATTGGCCTGAAGAAAACTCTTTAAGTACACTAACAGTTCCAAACTCGAGGTTTGACATATATGGCCCAAACTTTGAAAATTTGATTTTTCTGTGTGTATCTTTTCACTTTACTCAGGAACAAAATTTCGAAAGCTTGGAAAGTTTACTTTAACATGTTTAAACATGAAAAACAGAATCTCTGATTAAAAAACACCGAGGCCATTTGATATGCTGTGGTTTTAGTTATTTGTTTGGGGGGAGATTGTGCTAACATTGTTTAAATGTGATCTTCCCTTAGACGCACTTGTTCGACGGAACTGTGGCTGATATTCAAATGATGACCTTGAGCCTTTTTTTGAGGTTCTCCCGTCAGGAAGCCAGAGGTCAAGAGTTGCCACAAACAGGTGGTTCTACCATCAAGTTTTTTTTTTGTAATTAAGCAATTATCATAATGTTCTGATAATTGTTAAACTTGGGTATGTTTCTTGCTTTGGTGTGTTCCCGTTTTGCACACATTTGTAATTAGGTATAGAACAATAGGTGTGAAGTGTGTTTTGATAGCAGTTATAGTCTGATTTTTGGTTTGGATTTACCTGTGCATATCTGATTTAGCTTAATGTATTTTTAAGAGATTAAATACAATTTTATAAGCATTTTATTAAAATTCTATATATATTTATGGGAAAAGAATTGATTTTATTGAATATTTTGTTAAATTGATATAATTTTATAAGCATTTTATTAAAATTCTATATATATTTATGGGAAAAAATTTGATTTTATTGAATATTTTGTTAAATAAATTATTAATATTTATTTTTTAAGTCCAATTTCTTAAAAAAAGAATACTTTTCAATCTTGATAAAATTCAAAATGAATTAAAGATACAACAAATAAAAAAATAGAGAATAAAAATTAATTTGAAAAATAATGCCCAAGCCAAGAAGGTCTTAAGATAAATAAATATTAAATACATTAACTTTGTATTTATTCTCTTATTTTTTCACTATAAGTTCACCTTTCACCTACTTACTAAGTATGGTATAGACTATAGCAATTAAGTAATTATCTCACCTGGTCTAATTCCTGTTTTCACACATATTTTAATTACCTGTAATTCAAATGTGTGCAAAACGGGAACAAACCCTTGCTTTTACTGTTGGTTAGGTATTTCTGATTACAATTGTAACCTGAATATCTGTGAATTTTCATATGCATAGTGTAAGGGGTGTTAAATATCTTTCAGATTTGGAAATATATGATGTTTACATAATGTTTTCTTTCAGACCTGCAGGAGAAGACCAAAAAATAAACATAAACCTTTCAATTTGCTATATCCAAAATGTCTTGCTTACTTGCATGGAATATTGAATTTCAAATGTTTATTTAAAAAAAAAAGATTATCCTGTCACAACTGTGCATCTGTACAATGGATGACATGTTGAGTGTTTTTGTTTGAATGTCATCAAAATTCAAAACTTGTAGCTTAATGTAGAACGGTGTGATTGTGCTCTGAGTGTCCTAACCTTGTCTGGTATGAAACATGTCATCCTATGACTACACAATGGTCCTGACATTTCATGGGTCTCCCAGTGTACTCTCTCTCTGTGTATAATTAATGTTAGAGGTCAAATAATTCTATCATTCTCAGCTGATACTCATATACTGCATGAAAATTTTTTTTTGTTTTTGTTCCTTTAGACATGGATATAGTCAGTTGAAAGTGTCTTAGATGTCACTAAGTTATAAATATCTAATCTTTGATAATGAATACTTATAGTTGTACAACAAGCTCCAACTACCCCTCGGAAACAGCATGAAACACCGATGGAGACAGACACGTTCCAAAAGCGTAGAGTTTCATTTACAATTTCTCCAGGTAAAGATGGCCATCTTCTGAAGTTTAAATGAGTTTTTTTTATTGAAATTTCTGAAGTAAAGTTGTTTTGGTTTCGTTTCTTAATTTTCAATGCCGTTCATTTCACAGAGGCCTTGGAGCTGAATAATCAAATTCAACAGACACAACAACAAACAGAGAATGGATCAGGAATGTTCCAGCTGCCCCCAGGGACCCTCAACATGGACATGAAGATGCAGGTGGATGCCTCTCCTATGAACGCCCAGCAGAACATGGACACAAAAGAAAATCTTGTTCAGTCACAGTTGATGCAGCATTCTGGTAACATGGCTAGCTCTCTGTCAATGGGAGACCTCAATCAACAGGTGATTCACACCCCTGTTTCCATAATGAGTCCTCCTGTTAGCCTAGAGAGTGCTATCTTCCAGCAAGTGGTGGTAAGCAAACAAGAAGCCATTGACAGCATTCTGCAACAAGGGAATCAAGTCATGCACCAGCAAGTGCAAAGTCCCATGATTCAAGGAACAACTCCCACAATGCAACAGCATGGAGTACATAGTATCCCAGATCATGTGAGAAATGGAAATCAACAGCAAGGGTTTGGGCTTAATATGAACAACCTTGTATCCCAGGCAAACTTAAGTGTCTCGCAAATTGATGTGGATAAAATACTTAATGCCGGTCTTAATTCTAATGTAAAACTAGGAGGTATGAACACAAATACACATGAAATCAACTCTAGTCATTATGGTGGAACCACGGTAACAAGCACACAACCATCAAGACAACTTAGCCGACAGAACAGTAACACCTCTTTGGCATCCAATGGTTCAAATTCATTTAATTCCCATGCCAATATTCTAGATGTTTCACATGACTTTGCAAATATTTTACAAGATGCCAAAAAGGATCACCCAGAAAACATAGACAAAATGGCTGAAGCTATCCTGAATGTGAGTACCTAAGACATTGAAATCCTTGTGAAATTTCTGTAAAGAAAATGAACTTTATAACAATATACAGGAAAAATATACACTTGAAGAACCCCTCTTTAAAATTTCCAGATAACATAAAGTTTGAATTCTTATAAATATTTAATATTTTCAATTTGCACATTACCAAAGAATTTTTTTTTTAAACATACACAATGTATGTAACATTCATATTTTTCAGGAGAAATGGAACCACCATGAGATCCATGAGCAGCCCCACACCCCCGCACCAGAGGTGGCTCCTCAGTTCTCACAGAACAACTACCAGGCCTCCTCCAGTATAGCTCAGCTACTGGCCACACATCTAGCTTCCATCCAGTCCAACAGAGTCAGCTCTCCCGCTAGCTTCCCGACAACCTCCTCCTTCCAGACTCATAACAGCTTTATACAAAGTGGCCAGCAGAGCTTCAACCTCAGTCAAGGGATTGGACTAGCAGGGATTGCTAACAGTGGTGTAAATACGTCCATCACACAGACTCTTCTGAGGAACATGAATGTTCCTCTCCATACCATCACATCGATGACTGGAGAATCGGCCCCTGAAATGAAGGTTCAAATGTCTGTTCCACAGCCCCAGCTTATAAACAGCAGTTCTATTCCCACACATAGTAAGGCAATCTTTGCAGTTTACTGATACAATGCCAGACCTCAAAACTGTGCACACATTTCATTTAAACCAAATCATCTAGCATTTTTTTTACTGAAAGAAACTTCAAAGTAATTATAAACATTTTATGATTTTAGATCTAAATGTGCAACAGCCACAGCTTCAACAACAGCAACAGCAGCAGAATGTACCCCAGATCATCATCTGTAACCCACCACCTGCTGCTGCCCCGACTCTGGGTCAACAACCCCAGCCCTCCTCAGCTAATAACTTTGTGCCAAACCCTGCCCCAGCACAGCCCCCTAGTATTGTTATACTGGGCGGTCAGGGGAGCAATCCTTCCTCACAGGGTAATGACCAATTACAAGGTAGAGCTTTCATTATGTCTCCTTGTTACACTGCTTTATCCATGCTTATCAGAGAACTCAGTCTTTAGGTAATGTATAGATTTATTTGAACAAGGAAAAAAACACTGTGATAAAATGCATGTATTCTAAAACAGATCAGTATAAAATAAAAAAAGTACCGGTAATGATAAATTCATGCATGCATAATTTTTTGGAAATGCTCAGTATGGGCTTTATAAATTTGACTAGAAGTGTAATTCCAGTATCTTTTAAGTTTTTACATATCTAAGATCTCTGATACTTCGCAGTGTAGTGTTTATACAATAATTGATAGATACATGTACACTAAACACATTGTATACTAACATTAAAGCACTTTAAGATTTCATTATCAGAATTACATGATTACAAATCAGAATTGTTCATCCATAGCACTGTTAACAACATGTGTTTTACTGTAACATATCATTAATTAAGTGTTATTGTCTGTGTGCTGTTTACAACTGTAAAGTTCAAAATTACATTAAAAAAATAAATGAATGAAAGAGAGTTATCATAATTGCTGAAAACATAATTAATTTAAAATTCAGAAAAATCTGCACACATGAATTGTTATTCAGGTTTAATGGCGTCAGTGGCACAACTACAGCATGTACACTCATTTCAAAGAATAAATTCATTGTATCAAATAAACACTTGATAAACATAAGAATATTTTAAGACTTTTTTCAAGGATTTTTTTAAATGGGCTTAATTTTTATTGTTTTCAAGGTATGGGGACCATGAAATATAAATGTAAAATTTACAAAGATAATTTTACCCAGCAAATATTTAACCGTGAAAGCAATTCTCAAACTATATTTTTTTTAACAAACCACAAATCTTTGTCCACATGAAAATATTTTTTGATTTGTTTTATATTTCTTTTAAATATGACGCATTACTTTCCTACATGTATATTGTGCTGAAATTTGATTTACTAGAAAGATTTTGTTTCTATAGTACAAAAAGGCAATATATGACACAATTACAATTCTCTTCCCCTTGGGAATATATTTCCTCCAAAATCTTGTTTTAACTGATTTGCTAATTATCATTTTCACTCATTACAATAAGGAAAGCAATAGTGTTAATAGTTGTAACAAAAACATAGAAAACGGTAAAGAATCGATCCAATGTATAGGCCAGCATTTCCCACTCGTTCAGTTTCTTCCTGGCTTCAGAGGATGCAGACTTGTCCGTTTCCTGGAAACTAGTTCTCTTTTGGTCTTGTCCCTGAACTTCACCCTTTTCCCAATTGTCATAGACAGAATTCTCAAAGGCCTGAGAGTAGAGTGACTTGATACTCTTTCTATTCTTTTTGCTTTTGTTTGTGGGAATCACACTGCTTCTTTCAGCCAGTTCCTCGCTTCTTTCTTTAAGACTACTTTCATGAGATTGGGCAGGATGAAGATAATGTTGTTTCATGCCCATCAGGCGACCAAGTTTCTCAATCAGAATTAGACTGGCCCACTCTGGCACCTGTTGACCACTGAAGTCGTGGTAGAACAAGTGCAGAACTATGGCAGACATCACACAGGACAGACAGGTGAGCAGAAGGGTGATTAGAAAGTAGATTCCTATTTTGGGAAAGAATTCAGAAGATGACGGTAGTGTATCCTGGATGACAAGCAAGAAGACGGTGACTGCCAGAAGAATGTTCATGTGGAATGTTATTTTTTCTCCAGAGATGGATGGCAAAAAGAATCCGGCAATGGATAATATAGTAAGGGCAAAGAAAGGCAAAATCATGGTGATTATGTAGAAGGTGGCCTTGCGTTTTATCTCCAGTTTGTAGGAAACACTGGAGAAGGGGTCTTTACGGGAGATGTATGCATTGATCCTTTTAGCGGCTTTTAGACTGACCACTATCCATTCTTGGTGGTTGACAAAGGAAGTGAGATCCCCATTATCTGATTTGCTGAACATCTCTATATACCTGTTTGAATGTATCCATGAACCAAATGTCATAGTACACAATTGATGATCGTATGGGAACATAGAAATATTCATTCCACATGTCATGTGCACTGTTGTTGGAAAGTGGTACTGAATTTCTCCTGTGTTTGTTATCAAGGCCCTGTATTGTTTCATATCCGGCATGTTTGCAATATCATCAATACCTTCAAACAAAGTCACATCTGGGATCCAGAGTTTGTCATACGGTACTCCTATTTCAGAAATTCCACCAAATTCTGAAGCATTCCATACAAAGTTACAGTCATTCCATATAAGCCTGACCCAAATTTTGAGTTTAATGGCCTCATTTTTCTCAGATAATTCCACGATTTCTCGCAGGCCAACATCAATTGTTACGTTCATGGCATTTTCACTACAGTGAGGGTGAAGAGTTGGTATGTAGTCACCTCCAAACAAAGTCTTGTATAACAGTGAGATGTTCTGATTAACACTTGAAACATTCAAAGGTGTTAAGATAAATAAAATGCAAATGCTCCATAGCAATGTTGACCACATGTTTCTTTCACAGATGTTTCAAAGGAACCTAACCAAATGAGGAAATATTAGTACATGTATTATAAAAGACATCTACACTTTCCTGTTACTGCTTTGCTATGAGGACCTATGTGTCCTGTTAATTAAAGTCGTTAATGCTTTTTACAATGTAATATATAACAGCTTATTCATTTATTGTGTTCCTGTTGATTGAAATTTCAGAGAAGGGAAAAATGTTTTGTAAGCGGTTAAAAAGAATAAGAATTGAAAGAAAAATCACACAGGAAATATTTCTTTTTTTTTTAATTTTGTTTTTGCAATATGCTCCTCTGACTTCCTTCGAAAGACTTACTGTGCTTGTATTATTATGATTCCCTTTTCATAGAACACCTAACAAACTAAATCGACCTTTTTTTAGGAATAATGCATCATATACAAAATGCCACACCATTTTTTCATTATTAAAAAAGTCACCTACGGTCAAATTTTTTTGTCCATTAATTCATATTTTAATTGCCTTTTTGTCTGCATCTTTTTAACTTGTAAACTGCTCCAGATAAAAATCATATTTTTAAGGAAGGTAGAACATTTCTGTTCTGGTTATGCATGTTTGTATCCATAATCTCTAGGAAGTGATATTTAATTAAGCAATTAAAAAAAGGAAGAGTTATGAATAAAGGTATATAGATCTAATATTTACATCTATATGAATAATCTGTGACATAAACAATCCATTGAAATTCTTCCTGTGCAACCCAGATGTATAAAAAAACTTGTCTTAAAAAATGAAACTTTTTGTAAGAATTATTAGAAATACTATAAAATGATTTGTAAATATCCATTTTTTCTGGCCTTTGTGAATTTGACTTATAAACTGGAAGAGATTTAAAATGGCTGTAAAATGTGCATACCATCGTAAAATTTATTTTACAGTGTTGTATTGATGAATATTTATAGTTCTAATTTAGGTTTTATTTTCTTTTACAGTTGAAAACATCCTGAGATCCATTTTAGACAGTCTGCGTCCACAAGGTGGCAGCACATAATTTTTTGTCACCAAAATGACGGTATTAAAAAGACAGACGGATCCTGCAGATTGATTTTTCAGTATTTATTCAACAATTATTTTGTGATAAAACTTTATTGTGTTTGTTTATGTTGGTAATTTTTTCCTTTAGTTATTCTATTGTTGATGTAGTTACTTTAAATGTCAAAGAGCCAAGCAAAATTTCACAGCACAGGACTTGTATATGATCCCAAATTTGTCTTAACGATGTATACACTCTAAATTTCTTTTCAATGTTTTAGAGTCACATAATTTATCAGATCTCAATGCTATACTTTACTTTTGTGTAGTAATTAGATTTTTCAAACTACTTTCATAATATTTGGGGAAATTTTCTGCTGTAATGAAAATTGTTTTTGATGGAAGCAGGACCACAAAGCATGGTTGTTAAAATTTTTGAAAAGGTTGTTTGTAAGGGTACAGATTATTTTTGAAGGTTTAAGAAAGGGTAAGGTTATAGTTGATGCTGCAAGGAAAGTGTCACTTTAATTAAAGATTATACCCATATATTGAAAACTAGAAATTTAAAGGTAACTGTATCTTTTCCCTTTTCACATGTGTTCTTGTACATTGAAAAATTTTTGAATTTTAGAAGAAAGTAGAATTTACTTTGGCAGCTTCAACATTTGTGTGTACCTATTCATATTTATTAGTATTATTATTTTTTATTGTAATCATTCTTCTTATTTCTCCAGTTAAATTTTTGTTTTTTGGGAGTAGGATGTTCAAAAATATTATGTCAATTAAATCATTGATGTAAGAAAATGTTTGTGCATGGTATTTTACATATGTATTCTTTCACCTTTTGAGTCTTAGAACATTGAAATTTAATTTTAAAGAAATATATCATTATCAAATTTCTCTTTCCCAATGAAACTGCTTTTAGTGAAAAAAGGTACTTTTGTATACTACCATGAATTGATAGGAAACAATAAAGTTTTGAAACAGCCAAACAATTTTTGATACATTGCATTAGCTTTTTACTTATTCAAAAAAAAATTACAAATTTTCTCTGATACAAATTTCACTGTGTTCAATTCTCAACCACAAAGCATTTTTTATCACTCATCTTCATTGTAACCCTACTTAAATTTGTCCATTGCAAAATTAATGGCTTAAGTCATAGTCTTTTATATGAATCAAATATATTAGAGGCAAAAACGACTTTATACCTTGTATTGTCTTTTATATCTGTACAATGTATTTAATTTAAACAGACTTTTTCGTGTAATAACACTTTTTCAGAGTTCTGTGAATCAGATATTTTTCCACCTTCTTGTGATATTAACTTAGTGCTAGGATTGGACATCATGGCCTCTATATCAGATTAGTATTAACTAGATGGATTGGTGCTGTGATTATTTTTCATCGTTCCTTGGACAAAGTCATTATATTTTCCTATATACCGGTTAATTGGTATCTTTAGATGTACATATCCTGTGAGATTATTTCATGCACTGTCAATGTTGTCATTTTAATCACAGAATTTTATCACTGCTCATAAATAGCTACACTGTGTTTGGTTCAGCAACACTTTAACCTTTTAGAGCACATTGTATGTTATTTAAAATCTGATGATTTTTATGGCATAATAGGGAAAGTTCACCCGAAGTCCCGAGGGGTTACAGAACTAGAGAGTTTTTGTGGAAGATATTGAATCTTTCCATACATGTGTTCACCTTTGAAAGTTTATTTCAAGAAAAGAAGTGCTTTTTTAGTCAATTTCAATAGAATATTTAAGATTTGTAACATAAATAGTAAATTTTTGCAGCATAGAAAAATAAACTTGTATATTGTTGATTATAATATTGGAACTAGCCCTTAAATTTTATAAATTTCCAGTTTTTCAATCTCAAAAATGAAATGTAAAAATGCTTGAAATTTTTTATAGTGGATTATGCATAGCAGCAATGTATAAGGATTCTTTTTTAGTCCTTTGGGAGTTACCGTTGAACATACATGTATCCTTTAGAAAGAGTTGGAAGAGGGTTTCTGTACATTGTAGAGGTTGATGGACATATATATGTAAAATTCGGGGAACTGAATCTCGAGCCTAAGTCTGCCGTGTACAGTTAACATGTTTGTTTTTAGATTGCTTCGTACTTTGTGATATTGACATCATTTTGCTTGTATCCAAGTCAAATCAAATTCATTGTGTCTTGTAATTTCTCATTATTACTAATATAAATGGCGCAGAAATGCTTGCCGGATGGCTTTAGTATTTTCATTCCTCATTGCATTATATGTAGTGTTGGCCTCAGTTTAATTATTAAGAGAGACAATAGATTTGTTTTACACATATATATGTATTGTTTTTATTATTATGTTCTCAGCTTGTTACAGTTTTTATTTGTTATGTTTTAATCAAGAAGTGAAATCCTGACAAAAATTGCTACAAATCTTAACTATAACTAACACAGAACGTGTTCCACCATTAGTTTAAGGCCATGTTCTTCCATTGGCTTTTCAATGTTATTAAAGTGATGCGCTTTTTTCAAATTTGACTATCACTTTCATACTGTTGCTGACTTGTTACCAAAGGTAATTAATTGGAAACTTTTTATTTTAAAACAGCATGCTTCTCCCCATAGAAAATTCTTTACTCTACTGATTTTTATCTTTGTTTACTAGATGTCACATTGAGTATTAAAAAAAACAAACGAATTAATAATAGTGTTATTTTATTTCTTCTGTAAAAGTTTTGAATTTTGCCAGTCAATATTGTTTTATGGAATAAAAAGAAGTTGCACATTTTAAGCTCTACTGGACGAAGACCCCTCCTACAGTTTTTGTCTGATTTCAATATAACTTTGCATAAAAGAAGACTACACTGAGATATATGATTTTGTTAATCAGTTTTTGATATGAATGAACAGTGTTGCGTATATAGTGTACTAAAAAAGAAAATTCTTTGAAATATTTGCAAAATGCTACCCTTTCAACAGATTTGATCTGATTTCAATATAAGTTGGCACACACGTTGAAAACCGTAAGATTCGTCATTCACTTTATCGGTATTAGATGTCGATGAACGGTGTTGCCATGGTTACTAAAAACAGAAATTTCTGCGACATATTTCAAAATGCTACTCCTTTTACATTTTGGGCCTGAATTCAATATAAGTTTACACACAAGTATACTACAACAAGGAACACAATTCTATATATTCTATGAATGGTGTGGCCATGGTTACTAGAAAAAGAAATTTCTTTGAATTATTTTCAGAATGCTACTCCTACAGTTTAGGTCTGATTTCAATATAATTTAGCATCCAAGTAGACTTCACTTGGATTCATAATTCTGTATATCGGTTTTTTGATTGCCATGATTACTAAAAGTAGAGAAAAATTTTGAAATACTTTCAGAGTGCTATTCCTCCTACAGTTTTGGTCAGTTTTCAATTACTAGTAATCTTGCCAAGAAAATGACTAAACAATGATAAAAATTTATTGCTGTTGCAAATCAAATTCAAACGCTACCTTTCTCTTCCTTCGTTATAAGCATAAACCAGTATAGCTACAGTCTTGTCAGAGACTTCTGGTTATTGGAAACTATTGGAATAATTTTAGCTTATTGTGTGTATTCAATTATTGGTTCATATACACACATTGTTGCAATGCTTTCCAACAGCATCAATCAAAAAGCATAGTACTTTTATTCATTGTTTGGAAAAGTTGTGTACGTGTAGAAAATTCGTACGTTTCCTGCTGCTGACGTTTGAGAAGTTAGAGATTTTAACCTTTTCTAAAAGTTCTCTCGATTTTCTTAGAATCCAAGTCTTATTTACACCACTTCTAGAATATGCTATAATACAATGCGTCTGAATTTTTTTTTTACAGCAGTTTAATTATTTTTGGGACAGTGATGTAAATTTTCAGGCATGGATAAAATTATGATCATTTATTAGCAGAAAATAAAGTAAGTTCATCGACTTTCCAATAAAGCTGCAATTTTTTTAAACGGTGTTTATGCAATTTATTCTAAAATATCATTCGAAACCTATTTTGGATGGACCTGCCATAAAAATAATAACATGAAATTTTCTTTTAGTGAAACATTCAGAACCAAAGTTTAAACATACATGTAGTTTAAATAAAACAAAACTTTTTTTGTGAATTTTCTTTTTAATATCCTGCCTTTAATATTCCCCATGCATCTCACTAAGACAATTTTTTAAAAAAATGTTTAATTTGCTTTTATTTAAAATCAAATATGTTATAAAAGTTAAATTGAAATGCATATTAATAATGTTAGAAGTTCTGATCAAATGAATTTATTTCTCAAGAGCAGGCGAGTGACATGCCTCATATAAAAATTGCGAGTGACATGCCTCATATAAAAATTAAGTTGAGGGTGCATCATTTTGACTAAAGACAATAAGAAAGGCAACCGTATTAAGGAATACGGCAATAGTATAAAGAACGGTAAAGAATCTATCCAATATATAGGCCAGCAATTCCCACTCATTCATCTTTTTGTTGGACCTTTCGGTTTCCCAGAAGCCCACACTATTAGGGTCTCGCGGACGTACCTTTCCTACTTCGCTTTCCCAGCCTTCATAAACAGCGTTCTGAATTTCACATAAAACTGCTGGCTTTACAATCTTCCTACTCTTTTTGACCTTTGGTCTTTTCATGTCCTCCAATTTCTTTTCTGCTGGTTCCTTTTCACAAGATTGTTGAGCTTTGAAGCGTATCACATTGTCTTGTGTGATGAACATCAGTCGACCTAGTCCATCCACCAAAACTCTTTTGACCCATTTGGGCATCTGTTTCCCACCGAGATCATGGTAGAACAGGTATACTACGATTGCTGACATCACGCAGGACAAACAAATTAAAAGGAGGGTAATAATGAAGTAGATTCCGATTTTTGGAAAGAACTCAGACGATGCGGGCAGTGAGTTCTGAATGAGGAGCAAATAGACTGTGACTGCTAAAAGAATGTTCATGTGGAAGTCTATTTTTTCTCCAGAGGCGGATGGCAAGATGAACCCAGCAATAGATAATATAGTGAGTGCAAAGAAAGGCAAAATCATTGTGATTATGTAGAAGGTGGCCTTGCGTTTTATCACCAGTTTATAGGAAATGCTGGAGAAAGGTTCTTTACAACACGTGTATAGTTCTGTCAGCTTAGTTGCTTTTAGACTAACGACGATCCACTCTTGGTGGTTGACAAAGGAAGAGAGATCTCCGCTTTCAGATTTACTGAACATCTCTATTTCGCTGTTTGAATGAATCCATGAACCAAATGTTAGAGTACACATTTGCTGATCGTATGGGAACATGGAAATATTCATTCCGCATGTCACGTGTACTGTTGTTGGAAACTGATATTGAATGGCTCCTGTGTTTGTTATCAAGGCTCTGTACTGTTTCATATCCGGCATGTTTGCAATATCATCAATACTTTCATATAAGGTCACATCTGGAACCCAGAGTTTGTCATACGGGAGTCCTATCTGCGAAATTCCTTTAAATTTAGAAGAATTCCAGACGAAGTTGCAGTCCTTCCAGTTAAGTCTTACCCAAATCTTCAGTTTAATGGTCTCTTGTTTTTCGGATAAATCCACAATTTCTCGCAAGCCAAGATCGATCGTTACATAAGTAGCATTCTTACCACAGTTAACGTGAGGATGAATATAAGGTGTGTAGTTACCTTTGAACAAAGAATCGTGCAAAACTGAAGCAAATTGGCTCTGGCCATTACTGGAAATAACCATTAATGCTGAAATGAAGAGGCTTAAAGCATTCAATGCACATCTTGACGACATTTTGCGTCCAACAACGTAACATGCATTATCCTAATCAATGTATGATATCTGAAAGATATTTTCCTGTTCACAAATTGTTCTTGATTACATAATTAGAGAATGGGTAGCTCAAAAGTTACTAGTATTTCTTTATGTTTTAATTTTACAAGAAATGGGTGTTCTCTTTCTTTCTTTTAAATTAAAAAGCATTTGAATGAAATATTTCCTATCTATTTATAATTAGGGAAACTATTTTCAATTTTACAAAATTAATATTGATTAAATTGCATTACCATTGTTATCGGATATTAACATGTACTAATGAAAAGTTTAGCATGTTAAGGCTGAAAAAAGTCTTGTTTCCTGCTACCCGACCTACCCTATTATTTGCACCCGACCCTTAAGTTTTTTTAGTTTTGGGGGAAAAATCTGGAATTTCATGTTTCAAAAGTGAAAAAATTTATATACAAGTGGTATTTCATGAAATATATGTTTTAAATATGGACTTTAATACAATACTACTTGAGTTATGCATCAAAAGGCAAGGAATTTAATTTTGAAAGACAATATTGATGTTTAATTTGGGTTTGTGTTAGTTCATATCCAAAAAATACAGTTGTGAAAAAATGAAATTAAATTAAAAAAATAAACATTTTTCCTACATACCTTAGCTCGCTATCTATTTTTTTCCAGGCTGTTAGCAGGAAACTATTGCTTTTGGGGGCCTTATTTAAAATGATATACTCATTTAAATACTCAGTAATTAACAACTCCGGTGAAGATAGACCTTACTTAATACGTAGTTCATTTAAATTTACATTATAAAACTTACCCCGTTTGCATCCCTAATGTAAAAGTAAGCGACAAAGTTTAGATTGACAACCATCATTTAGAAGAAAAAAAATACAGCAAGCACAAATCTTACAGAATTTTTAAAAACTGCCTCCTAAAAAAAAATAATGTTTCTCATTCCTTGAATAATCTGAACTGCCGTTTCAAAGTTTTCAAGAAGAAAAAAAATCTATTATCTTTTGTCAAAGTCAAGCTACTGTCATTATTATTGCACATAATATTGTGCCATCATTTGTACATTTTATTTAATTATCAGACAGTCTTCACACTGTATAAGCTGTGAAGTGTTTGCGATAAAAACCAAGGTCAGACATGCAATAAGATGTGGCTACATCATACAATAAACAAAAATAATCGAGAAATGATACACCTTGGACTTTGGTGTTGTGAATCTCTGCCACTGGATGACAATCTTACTTCATAAATACATGTATAAGGGCATGTGTGACCCGTAAACTGGGGCTGCTTACTCCTCCTAGGCACCTGATCTTATCTCCGTTGCATTTAAAGGACAATGCTTTGGTCCTGTTACGGTTCGTTTTGTTTACTTGATTGATCAATGTTCCTTATCTTCTGACTGATTAAATTGTTAGTAAGACAAATTATTCAAAATGAAAACAATACCATTCATGTTTTTATTCGGCATTTACTTTAACATTAAGGAAGCAAGAAAATGTCAATACAGTATCAGGTAGTGTTCTCTATTATAAATGAACCCATGTTAAGAGTAACTTTCGAAGTAAATATTCGAATGAATACAATGAATTGTCCTATTAGAGTTTGATAATGAGAACCATTTTAGTCATTTTCACCAAATTAGAATGATCTTACAAATGATTATTTCTACTTTCCTTTGTCAATATTTTTGTAGTATTCACAATAGTTTATAATAGTTTACCTAAAATCTCTGCTTTCAGTTCCTTGAAACTGTTAAAACCGATTTTTAATTGCGATACATTTATCTCTCGACATTTTTTTTTATTAACAAAGGAATTTATCATGTACTGTATCAGATGCTGATTTTTTCCTAATTCAATAATTGATTACTAATATTTTTTCCCTTTACATGTTTTGAAGAAAAATATATACTCAACAAAAAAGAAACACATATTGTTTAACAACTATCTTTTTTATCATTGGATAGCTGTGACCTATTTAAAGTACATCATGGGCTTTTAAATCCCAATCGTTGAATTATTTCCCTTGATTAATCATGTTTATGAAAATAGTTTTTTCATTGATTTCTTGTAAATCCGGGATCTATTTTCACTGAAATTTTGGATTTAGAGAAATAATAAACACTCCTATTAAACCCATATTTTTGCTTTGATTGGAATTAATGTTGATGCTGCAATGCCACGCCTAAACAAAGATGAACGCAACAAGGCTCTAACAATGATACTAACCGGAGCTACGCAACTGGAAGTTGCAACTGCATTTGGCGTACATCAATCGGCTTTGCAGCAGTTAAACGCACGTCTCCACCAGCTAGGAACACGGATGACTGAGCAAGAACAGCCGTCACCGGGTTACCACACCTAGACAGGACCGTCAGATCCTCCTTCAGCCCCTGAAGCAATCGACTCAGAACTGCTATACAAACTGCTGAAATCAACATAAAGTGCACAAATTGTTCGCAAGAAATGTACAACCCTCTCCTTTTTTTTGGGGGGGGGGGGGGGGGGGGGTCTCCAGAAAACATCAGATTAAAAAATTCGGAGAGCGCTACATTATTGCAGCTACAAGAGACTGAGAGGAGCTGGTATTCGTGCACAACGTCCGTGCATGGGAAATCCACCAGCGCTTAGAGGTCGCAAAGGACACATGGATTGGTTAAGACGTATGCCTCTGGAATTTGGAGGCGACGTCAATGTCAATGACGCCAACTTTACTTGCCAATTTGGAACAAACAGGACATGTTTGATGTATAGGTTACATCATAGAAGCCGAGTAGTATTGATTATATCGTTTTCATGGGGCGTGTAAATCTCGGGCGCCCCGCGCCCTCTATTTCCACGCCCCATGAAAACGATATAATCAATACTACTCGGCTTCTATGATGTAAGCAACTTGTCGCATGTCTGATGACGTAAATTTCATTGAGAGTGTCAAAATTAAAAAAAAGATATTCAGAGTCATAAACTTAAAATTCATTTCAAGCTGGCTCTCCAACATGTCGGACGTTCTTAGTGAATTTGTCTTTGACTTTTTAACTGAGTTTGAAGATTTTGACAATTTGTATTTGAGGTTAGCATTCGACAAATGTGAAATCAAAGAAGCAAATATCAAGGAGTTTAACGATATAAAGTTTGGAGATTTTTCCGTAACTTTCAAAATTTCAAAATTTATTAATCTTTTGAACGACTGGGAACTTTCAACCGAGTTCAATACATGTGTTTTAATTTAGTTAAAGGCTAAGAAATAGCTTAACATCTCCATTTTTCTGTAGTTATGAACTTGTGAAATATAAAATTAGTTTTTTTTCTCATGACCTGATTTTTGCCTCCTGCAGTGATATATGAAGGGGCATGGAAAGTTTTATCGGATATGTGATATGGGATATATCACCACACAAAGATCAAAGAAAATCACTGCAGATATGCGACAATTTTATCATAACACACTCAAGTTATTAAGGTTTAAACTAAAAACTTAGATTATCATGATTAATCTGAATATGTGTTTCTCTTTTTGTTGAGTATATATAGATCTGGTAGCAGGAAAGATAAGACTTGAAGATGGGAAATTTTTTTTTTTACAAATACCGAAAACGTTAACAATAATATATTATAATACATGCATTTCGATTTAAAAAGCAATTACATGAATTAAATTCTGGTACATGTATATACTGCAATAAATATTATTTTCATAATTAGCTAATGTTTTATTTTATGTTGAGATAAAAAAAAAAAAAATTGATCTTTTTATTCATTTCTTAAATTTTCATCATATCATGATATAATATAATAACATAATGTTCATTATTGAAAGGTAAGCAACGCTTGTTACAACGCACTTTGAAAAATTAGGCACTTTGAAAAAAAATTTCAAGGTGCGTTAAATTTGGGACTAAATCAACGCACTTTGAAAAAATAAAATTTCTTTTTCAAAGTGCATTAATATCGACCATCTTAACGCACTTTGAAAGAAATGTGTATGGTCGATATTCTTGCAAATCTTAGGTATGATAAATAATTGAACCTACTGGATAATTTTTCGGTGTAAAGTTCACTTCAGGATGTAAAAATGAGCGATTTTGATTTTTCCATACTTTGACAAATTTTTCTCTCTTAAATGTTTTATTGTGCTTAATTTTTTCCAGTTTGCATGCATTTATTTATTGAAAGTTTTCAACGTCACAATAGTTATGCAAATACATATATTTGGGTGTAGTATAGGCATCAGTACCGGGAGGGGGGCTTAGTAGACACAAAAATGTTTTACAAAGATATACATAATATAGACATTGAAAATTTGGGCTTACTTAGGGGGGTTGGGGTTGGGGGTTGTCCACGTTTAATTTGCTACCGACGGCTTTGAAAAAAAAAGAGTTGGGCTGAGAGACCTTCTACTCGTCTTCTCTTTTGTCTCAATGAAGTTTACTCAATACATGTAAATTAAAAAGTTTTTTCGAAAGATATAATTATTACAAAGTAATTCTCTCAATTACTAAAATCTTAGTCTAGAATTTTTGTTTTATACATATTTTTTTCAAAGTGCGTTAAATTTCCCCTTGGTAAAAAATGTTGATGCACACTCTTAACGCACTTTGAAATTTTTTTTCAAATTGTATTGATTTTGTCCCAATTTTAACGCACTTTAAAAAAATTTTTCAAAGTGCGTAATTTTTTCAAAAAGCGTTGCCACAAACGCTTCATACTTCACACAATTTTCCGTTGACATTTTAAGCTTCATGTTGTTGAATTCTCCTGCACATTACGGTTAAGGATGTAAAAATTAAAAAAGTATACAAAAAGGAGGAAACATACTTTCAATTAGTGTAATCTATATAGGAACACTCTAAAGTCCTCTCTTTTAAGACTAATATTGTGCTTACTAGTTCTGCAAAATCAGGGTTGATCATTTTGACTCAGCACAATAAGAAAAACAAATGTGTTCAGAGATATGACTATGATATAGAATACTGTGAAGAATCGATCCAGTGTATAGGCCAGCAATTCCCACTCGTTCATCTTCTTGCTGGCATCAGAGAATGCAGACTTGTCGGTTTCCATGAAGCTGACTCGATTATCGTCCCGTCGCCGTACCTCTCCTACTTCGATCTCCCATCCATCGTATACAGCGTTCTGAATCCCACTTAGAGCCGTTGGCTTTATGCTCTTCCGATTCTTTTTGGCTTTGTCTACTGGGATCACAGTTTTTCTAACCACCTGGCCCTGATCTGTGGAATCCGTATTCCCGGTTTGTTGAGCTCTGAAACGTACGATGGTTTCTGGTGTGATGAACATCAGTCGACCCAGTCCATCCACCAGGACTCTTTTGACCCATTTGGGCATCTCTCTACCACTGAGATCGTGGTAGAACAGATATACTACGATTGTTGACATCAGACAAGACAAGCAAGTGAGCAGAAGGGTATTGAGGAAGTAAATTCCAATTTTGGGAAAGAACTCAGATGATGATGGCAGCTTATCCTGTATCAGAAGCAAAAAGACTGTGACTGCCAGAAGAATATTCATGTGGAATGTTATTTTTTCTCCAGAGATGGATGGCAAAACGAACCCAGCGATGGATAATATAGTGAGTGCAAAGAAAGGTAAAATCATTGTGATTATGTAGAAGGTGGCTTTCCGTTTTATCACTAGTTTATAGGAAATGCTGGAGAAAGGTTCTTCACAGCACGTGTATAGTTCTGTCACCTTAGTGGCTTTCAGACTAACGACGACCCATTCTTGGTGGTTGACAAAGGAAGAGAGGTCTCCGCTTTCAGATTTACTGAACATCTCTATTTCGCTGTTTGAATGTATCCATGAACCAAATGTCAAAGTGCACATTTGATGATCATATGGGAACATCGAGATATTCATTCCACATGCCATGTGTATAGTCGAAGGAAACTGATATTGAATGTCTCCTGTGTTTGATACCAAGGCCCTGTATTGTTTCATATCAGGCATGTTTGCAATATCATCAATACCTTCGTATAAGGTCACATCTGGGATCCAGAGTTTGTCGTATGGGACTCCTAGCTTGGAAATTCCACCAAATTCAGAAGAATTCCACATGAGCTTGCAGTCATTCCAGCTAAGTCTGACCCAAATCTTGAGCTTTATGGTCTCGTATTTTTCTGATAAATCCACAATTTCTCGAAGTCCTACGTCTATTTTTACGTTAACAGCATTTCTACTGCAGTACGGATGAATATCTGATGTGTAGCTACCATCAAACAAAGTCTTGTGTAACACTGAGGCAAAATGGCTCAGGTTGTCAGTGGAAATAACCATAGGAACTAAAATGAAGAAGCTGAAAGCATTCAATATACGTTTTGACGACATTATCGGTTCTAAGCATCTCAACTGTCTACAGAATAAACGAAGGTGTAAATTTTTTTAAAGGTAATTTTTTTTTCCTGTTTTGAAAACTGTTCCTGTTTGCTTCATTATAGAATATACTACTTTCTGGTCAAAACTAGAAGAATATTACCGGCATTTTTTTAATGAAGCATAATGTTTCTATGGTTCCGTTTAGTGTTAAATTACATTTTGATTTCTATTATTTCCCATCTATTTATCATAAGGGAAATATTTTACCAAAAAGTATTGAAACGGTTAACGTTTTTGATTACTTTTGCACTTCTCTTTCATGCGGAAATTCTTAGTCTGGTAATTCCACTTTTTACCAAAAAATGTCAGCTTATGTAAATTGCTTTTCATTTAAAGAATTAGAGTGAAACATATGGAGACAACGAAGAGTACGAGGGGTGATCAAAAAGTTCGCGAACTATATCTCTATATTTACAAAACCACAATTCAGATCAGAATGAAAGTTGGCACACATAAAGTCATACACGTGTTCTATAAATAGAATATTCAATGGAACGTTTTCCCCCGTGTTTGTGACGTTACAATTAAAAAATCACGTCATATGGTAGATCAGTTGTGACAAAAAATGGTTGACTCAGTCGTATTCGAGAAAAGAACGGCTGTAAAGTTAAACGTATATCTTGGAAATTCCTTTATAGAAGTTGATAATGATTTGTATACGGTTTATGAAGACAAAAGACTTGCCAGAAGTTTTTTCATTAATTGTATTGATTGTTTGAGTGAAGGAAGGGATATGTTTAGAAATGATGTTTGCTCTGTTGCCTAGTGAAAGCAAACTTGGAGAGAGACCTATCCTTTGTTAAGCAATTTGATATAAAATATCGCCAATTTATAGTTGGAAAAATAGATGCATATCTTTACAATAATATAATTATCAAATCCCTAAAATATCGTTTACTTTAGACTTTCAACATATCAGATATGAAAAAGTGAAGGCATCCATACTTTATCCACATGAAATAGACGACGCTCAAAAGACAGAGGACTTGGATTTTGATGGTCATTATGCTCATTCTGCAAAAGGAAATCATTATCCACCCATAGTATTTCAGAGATTAGGCCATTTCTCACAATTAGACCGTTTTTGTTGGAAAAAATAACTTGCATGGTTAGAAATGTAAGAGTCGGAAAAAATTTTAAGCTTCTGTGACAGAACGCTGAGGAGCATGTCACGTGACCTCCTATATCACGTGATCCGCGCATGGGAAGAATGGTTGCAGATGCGAATTAAAATCGAAGAGGACTACTTTGAAACATTTTCAACATTGAAACCCTATATCATTTCTTTTTTGGAAGTTATTCAATTAGTTCGCGAACTTTTTGATCACCCCTCGTATTCAAGATCAAAAGACCATTAAAAAATACTAGTAGGAGCAGAACACATGCGGACCTCCAAAACTCAAGAGGTGGGATCAGGTGCCGGCATATCCCTTGCCGACCGGTCACATCCCCCGTGTGCCCCTTGTTATTATTAAAAATTGACAGAAAAATCCGTCGACAATGTTTTGTGTAAATAATAGCCCAACAATAGGTATGAAAAACCTCATTCAGCATTTGGTCCAATGATAATTTGTATAAGCTGACAAGGTCTTTGTATCGGCCATAGAACTAACTAAATGATAACTTTAAACGAGACTGTTGTGCTGATTTTGCTGATTTCTTGTTTTAGCGAACTGTTTGTCAATGATTACTTACCTCGTTTTAAAAATGGTTCATACATAGAGCATGCACTTGTGTATCGAACCAACGAAGATTTATAAACCACGTATGCAAGTGATGAAAGTATATTGCTGCATATTTGCATACCCACATGCAGTCTTAACGCAACTACCTCTGCTATGAGTGCAAGTCCTATTTCACACTCGTATAGTACATTCTCTACTACATAATCAAAACGCTTTCAGTAGTATATATATGAAATGTTTTGCAAAAGGAATATATAAGTTTTTAATTTAATATTATTTGGAAAAAAGAATTTCAGAATAATTTAAAATTGCTGATTTATAGATCTATCTTTAAAAAATTAATTTTGGTCAATAAAACTTTTTAAAAATCGAAGAAAACTGCCAATTTATTACATTTTCTTGTCATATTTTCGCATTTTTTTGTACAAAAAACGATAACTCTTCACACTTGGGCGTTTTAACATTCAGAAAAAAGCCACATTTTTTAAAAATAGTATATCTATTTCAAGAAGGATTTCGGCTGTAAAAATGAATAGAACTTAAGAAAATCAAAGAAAGCATTCTGGAGTTAAAATCTTTATCAAAGCTTTGTTTTTTTTTCATCATAGCGTTAAATTATTGATTTTTTTCATAGGATTTCAATAACGTTGATCGATGACGTCACAACTGCATCAAAACAAAAATTTTTAAACGAGAATGTGACGACGGCGCAGCTTGTATTCAGATAACTGTGTTAATAAGAGGCAATTACTTTATAAATTGTTTGTGATTTATTAGAGAAAAGGTGCAATGATCAAGTACATGTATACTGATTTTATAGCCGTGTGTATTTCTTTACTGAAGACAAAAAGCCGTTGCTTATGTAAGCCAGGATTTCCTCAGCTATTCTTGACAACATCAAAGAATGCAACAACGCGAAGCGGTTATTTAAAAAAGCGTAAACTGTTCCAACCCAGTTTATACCGTATAAAATGGGTAGCTATTAAATTCATTGCTTATAATTTAATTTTCATTCATTTGAAGTAAAAAAAAAGATGATTGTTCTAACAAAATGACTTCAGTTTGTAAAAAAATTGAATGTAACGTAAGGCGGATTGATACGTTTTTGACGCAAGTCATTGTGACGTAGGCAACCTATTTTATACGATAGAAAGTAAATTTTTTATCCAATCAAATACAGCGTTACAACCAGAATTAAACTATAAGTAATAAACAATGGTTATTCATTGAACATGGCATTATGAATAGCAATAGCTCTGCTGACATATTTTCCATGATGCACTAGCGCGCATCATGGAATATGCCAGCAGAGCAATTGCTATTCATAACGCCATGTTCAATGAATAACGTTGTTTATTTCTTAAATAAGGAAGGAAAGTTAAAATTGGAAAGTTACAGTCATCACGTTTGTCATAAAGCTGGTTGTTAGATCATTTTATACAGCTTGTGGATGTAAATTCTTTCAATTTTACTGTTAAATTCCTGTAATTTCTTACAGTTTCTAAGACAGAAATTCTTTGATTTTTTATCAAACTTCTTTGCATGGAAAATAATGGGGATTTTTGTAAAGATGATTACCTGTTTTGTTTAAAAGAACCGTGTAGGGTGTAAGGTGCAGATCACTTATCTTTTGAATCTTGTATCAACTTCCGCCAAATATCGTACGCACTAAATATAATACATTTACAGTAATTGTTCAATGGACCAAGCACTAGATATCTAATTAAACTTTTATAAAAGTAAAATTCAAATAAAAAAATTGCGTTTTCCCGAAATTCCGATTGACTGATTGATCGTATATTGTTTAGCGTCCCTCTCGAGAATTTTTTACTCATAAGGAGACGCCACCACTTGCCAGTGGAGAGCTGCAAATTTTTAACTATACTCGGGACTCAGGGCTATTGAGCAGGGAGGGATCTTTTTCGTGCCAGCTCCTACTGCGACACGGGGCCTTGTTTTATACGGTCTCATCCGAAAGACCGGTCTCCACGTCCCACAGTTGGATTCGAACCCGCGACGTAAGGATTAACGCCTAATTCGCGACTCTAGAGCAGACACTCTAACCACTGCGCCTCGCGGTTGACCTGAAAAAAGTTCAGCGACGGAAATTTTAGTACCATCGTACCTAAAATCATGGAACGAACTACCTTTGCTTATTAAACAATTAAAATCTATTGATGATTTCATGAACAACTTTTAAAAGATCATTTCTTTAGAGACTTTTTAAAAATAATTCCTCTACATGTATATTATTTCTAATAATGTGAGGAGTGAGGGAGGGGGAGGTGTTAGAATCCATTTTTTTCAGTACCAAATTTTATTCATGCACTACTATACTACCCTTACATGACGATACTGCAACACAAAAGGGGTCTTTCAATGAAGATTCTCAATAGTAAAAACTTATGCTTTGAAGAAGCCTCCCCCCGAAAGCTACGAGCAAATTCCTCCCCAGATTTACTAAAGGGGAACTCTATTTCCTTGTGTAGAAGACACAACCTGCCTCGGGCTTTCATATCTGTTCATCTATGCACATAGGTGACAAACAAACTTTTTGCCTACCACATGCCCATTCACTTTTTTTCGTAGTAAATGTACGAAATCCATATTCTTGAAAGAAAACAAAGATTTAAACATGGAAAAAGCCTTTGAGTTGAAACCCCTTGTTAACAAACCTTGAAACCCCGTTAGGCACAATAGGATTTAGCCACAAAAGTTTAGATTTCTTACAGAAATTGAGATTGTTAAAGGAGAAAAAAGTTTGCATGGATTGGTTGTGCATCAATCTTTATCTTTCATCCTTAAATTAAGCTTTAGAAGTCCGGATTTTTTTTTTAAATTAAAGAGCAAAGAATGTCAGAAACACAACCTTTTCCAGTGGACGCAACTGTTCAGAAGTGTTAGCACAATCCATACGGCTTTCAAACTGTCTATTGCACTAAATTGGAAGGTAATACATTCTTACAACCCGTGCGCATGTCATTTGGACCCAAAGAATTCATTAGCAAAGAATTTTTACAAATATATTTTCCAAATCCAAAAATCACCGGTTCGGATTTGAAACCCCATATGATACTTGAGGTACTCCGATCTTCAGGTTCTGAAAATCAAGCACTGACTAATTGAAAATGCTCACAAAAATGTCTCTGAATTTTCAAAGTAACGTGTTTTTACTCACAATAATTCGTCAAACTTCATCTTTCAAGTTAATCATATTATATAGGGAAAATTGGTAAGTTTCAAATATATTTTCAGGAATTGCGAATAAAAACACCTGCTTTGCATTTTCCAATTGAAATTTATCAATTATTTTAAAAATAAAAATCATAAGTATCCAGGCTTTTGAAGAAATTCCACAAATTTTATACATATAGTGTACTTTAATTTCTTTTATTTACTTCGATCATTTTAAAATGCAAAGTGATTAAAGATTCTCCTGTCATTGCAAAGCACCATGAATCACCTCTAATTACATATCATGATAATAAACATTGGTATCTATGGTTAGATTATGTCTATGGTTAGATTAAAATGAACACCACTTTCTTGATATATGTAATTTTAATATGCTTTTCCGGGGTAAAAATTTCTACTTTTTAGAACACCTTTCTGAGAGCTTCAAAGAACCTTGACGCACATTGAGAGGTATATAATGAAAATTGTTGCATGGAAAGATTTAATTTTCAAGCTTCATTTTAAGACTTTTTGAATTGAATTATAAAATAAAGAGTTGTTCTTCCTGGCTGAGGATCGGAGTCCCTTAGCCGAAACCCCACATGTGCCCCTTTACACGGTGATTATGATTTCTTACATGATTCAAATACTTGTATATACTGCAATATATGTTATTTTCATATTTACTTAATATTTTATTACCGTATGTTGAGATGAAAAAAATCATTGATCTTGTTATTCATTGTCTTAAATTTTCATCATATCATGATATAATATAATGACACAATGTTCATTATTGAAGGGTAAGCAACACTTCATACTTCACACAATTTTCTATTTATATCTAAAGATAGATGTTGTTAAATTCTCCTGCACATTACGGTTAAGAATGTAAGAATTACAAAAAGTACACCAAAACGAAAAAACATACTTTCTATTAGTGTAATTTAAATAGGAACACTATAAAGTCCTCTTTTTAAGACTAATATTGTGTTCACAAGTTCTGCAAAATCAGGGTTGATCATTTTGACTCAGCACAATAAGAAAAACAAATGTGTTCAGAGATATGACAATGATGTAGAAAACCGTGAAGAATCGATCCAGTGTATAGGCCAGCAATTCCCACTCGTTCATCTTCTTGCTGGCATCCGAGAACGCAGACTTGTCGGTTTCCATGAAGTTGACGCGGTTATCGTCCCGTCGCCGCACCTCCCCTACTTCGACCTCCCATCCATCGTAAACAGCGTTCTGAATTCCACTCAGAGCCATTTCCTTTATGCTCTTCCGACTCTTTTTGACTTTGTCTACTGGGATCACGGATTTTCTTACCACCTGCCCCTGATCTGTGATATCCGTATTCCCGGTTTGTTGAGCTCTGAAGCGTACGATGGTTTCCGGCGTGATGAACATCAGTCGACCCAGTCCATCCACCAGAAATCTTTTGACCCATTTGGGCATCTCTCTACCACTGAGATCGTGGTAGAATAGATATACTACGATCGCTGACATCAGACAAGACAAGCAAGTGAGCAGAAGGGTATTGAGGAAGTAAATTCCAATTTTGGGAAAGAACTCAGATGATGATGGTAACGTATCCTGAATCAGTAGCAAAAAGACTGTGACTGCCAGAAGAATGTTCATGTGGAATGATATCTTTTCTCCAGAGATAGATGGCAAAACGAACCCAGCGATGGATAATATAGTGAGTGCAAAGAAAGGTAAAATCATTGTGATTATGTAGAAGGTGGCTTTCCGTTTTATCACTAGTTTATATGAAATGCTGGAGAAAGGTTCTTCACAGCAAGTGTATAGTTCTGTCACCTTAGTTGCTTTCAGACTAACGACGACCCACTCTTGGTGGTTGACAAAGGAAGAGAGGTCTCCGCTTTCAGATTTACTGAATATTTCTATTTCGCTGTTTGAATGAATCCATGAACCAAATGTTAGAGTACACATTTGATGATCGTATGGGAACATGGAAATATTCATTCCGCATGTCATGTGTACTGTTGTTGGAAACTGATATTGAATTTCGCCTATATTTGTTATCAAGGCCCTGTATTGTTTCATATCAGGCATGTTTGCAATATCATCAATACCTTCAAAAAAAGTCACATCTGGGATCCAGAGTTTGTCGTATGGGACTCCTAGTTTGGAAATTCCATCAAATTCGGAAGAATTCCACGTGAGCTTGCAGTCCTTCCAGCTAAGTCTGACCCAGATCTTGAGTTTTATGGTCTCGTATTTTTCTGATAAATCCACAATTTCTCGAAGTCCCATGTCTATTGTTACGTTAACAGCATTTTTACTGCAGTACGGATGAATAGCTGATGTGTAGTTATCATCAAACAATGTTTTGTATAAAACTGAAGCAAAATGGCTCTGGTTATCAGTAGATATAGCCATGGGGACTAAAATAAAGAAGCTGACAGCGGTCAATACACGTTTTGACGACATTATCAGTTCTAAGCAGCTCAATTGTCTACAGAATAAATGAAGGTGTGAAGTTTTTTTAAAGGTAATTTTTGTTTCCTGTTTAGAAAACTATTCCTGTTAGCTTTGTTATAGAATTCACTATTCTCTGGTCAAACTTAGAAGGTTATTACCGGCATTTTTTTGATGAAGCATATTGTTTCAATGGTTCCTTTTAGTGTTTAATTACATATTTTATTAATTATTTCCTATCTATTTGTTTTAAGGAAATATTTTTATCAAAATATTTTGCACTTCTCTATCATGCGGAAACTCTTAGTCTGGTAATTCAACCTTTTACAAAAAAAATATCAAATTATGTAAACTGCTTTTTATTTAAAGAGTTTAAGTCAAATATACGGAGATAACGAACAGTATTCAAGATCAAAACTCCATTAAACAATACAAAATAGGAGCAGAGCAAACGCATTTTAAACAGATTGTGGGTGTAAAAATAAGAAGTTAAACAAAAGAAAATTTTTCCTTATTTCTGTAAAATTCCTGTAATTTCTTACAGTTTTCAAGACAGAAATTCTTTGATTTTTATCAAACTATTTTGCATGGAAAATATTGGGGATTTTTTTTTATAAAAGAGGATTACCTATTTTTTTTTTCAAAAGAACCGTGTAAAGTGTAAGATACAGATCATTTATCTTTTGAATCTTGTAACTTTGCATTTATTTTAAACTATTTCTGCTTTCAAGACTGATAAACTGCATCAATGCACATTGATAAGGAAGCAGACGCGCAGTTAATTATAATGTCCTTGATTTTAATATTACATTTGGGAAAGAATTGGTAGTTTTAATGCATGATTTTAAAAAAGCGACTATTTTTAAAGTAAAGACACAGTGTATTCAAAAGGCTTCATTAAAAAAAAAATGAATTGTTAATGATTATAAAAATGTTATGTTATCCTCAATCTTTAAACTTTTTTTACAAATATCTTTTGACTTCTTTTTTTTTTTATAAATTTAAACATGCAATACAAAATTTAATCCAAGAATACATTTGGAATGAATAAACAAATACAACGCCTACTGTTTCCCCGCTGTTTATTGCAAATAAAACAAAGTATTCACAAAGTCACCAGCTTATTTTTTAAAAACAAAAATACTTGAATACTTCAAAGTATATGAAATCTAAAAATATATGTTAAGAAACTTTAAAACAGCTGACATCGTATAAGTTATTAAAAATTATGTGGTTCTAAGCTACAAGTGAATTTAAAAAATGCAGGAAATTTTCTCAAAAGTGAAAGACCAAACAAACAGAATTCTTAAACTTATTGCATGATTGTTCAAAACGCAAAACAACAAGATTAAAAATAATTTAGTAGGCATGAAACACATTGCTATATGGATAAAATATAATAGTATTGATAAACATATACATAGTATATAATCAAGATTTTTAGACACTAAGTATCTAATTAAAATACAATCATTATATATATTATATAATTAAATTGTGTTCTATATACATAGTATAAAATTCATATATATATATACACAGTATAAAATTCATATATATATATATACATAGTATAAAATTCATATAAATACATAGTATAAAATTCATATATATATACATAGTATATAATCAAAACAAATTCTATATACATGCTATATACCAGTAATTAAAATGTATATATAGTGCAGTTAAAATTCATACAAAATGTATGATAAAACATCGTGCATGTTAATGTTAACATGACAAGCTCTCGACAGTGTTCTCCCTATAAGATCAGCTTGGCAAACAGACAGACCAGCTGGTCTAACATTCCATCATTATCAGCTTCTGTCCACCCTGAAGAAGCATCCAGACCATCCTGCTTTTGCTTTTTTCTAGTAACCTGTTTCTAAATAACACAGAAAAACACTATGTAAGAAACATGATAAAATAAAACTTAAAAGGCCAAATTTACGAGGGATGGGAGTAAATATATAATGTTATAGTTTGTATCTACATCAGATTATTTATAGATGGAGAAGCATCATTAAATGATGAATATTTCTCTGTTGTATTTTACCTCAGTTTGCACTTTTTCTGCGTTAGATGGCGGAGAATGATCCTTTTGTACCTGATTGTCAACCAGATGCGTTTTTGTCTCTACATTTTTCTACAAAGAACACAAAGGGATGAAAATAACTATACATAAAGTTCCCATACTGCTAACAAATTTACGCCATTTAACATTATGAATTACAAGTATATTTTACAACATTGTCACTGTGTCATGAACCAAATGATTTCAAGAGACGTGAAAAGTAATACCAAAAAAAAAAAAAAATAGGGGCCATTTACTAAACATATCATTCAGAAATTTGCGAAATTACAGATATTCGATCGTTGGAAGACGCGGATGACTGTGATTCCACTAATTTTTGTAGGGGTTTAATTTTCGTTGTTTTTGAGGTACAAAGAGACCCCCAACTCCATGTCCAATCACTACTCAGAACTTGTGAAATAAAAAAATCTTCATAAACCAATATTTTATCACCAAACTTCGAAATTTTGACCCAATAAAAGTATGAGGTTTAATTGTGTTACTACTAGTTCATAATTGTGTTTTTCGTGATTTTTCGGGGGGGGGGGGGGGGGTGACTTCATCGTATTAAAAATTGTTTAATTTTTTTAAAAAAAATTAAATAATCAAACTTTATTTCAGATCAATAATTACTTACCGACTTCCTGGCTTCCTTCTCCTGGCCTAAAGTTGGAGACAGCTGAGAATTATCCGAGGCGGAGGGCGAAGACTGGACTGAATCTGCAGAGTCCTGTTGGAAAAAAAGCATGCAAGTATATATAGATGGAAATGTACTTATATTGTACGAGTTAGCATAGTGAAACACTGAAGCATCAAATAAAAGAGGATGTTGCTGTTCTTTTTTTATTGTCTCCTGCTTTCACTGAAAGTTGGAGATAATAATATTTCTGTCTGTTTTAACACTCGTATCCGCGCCTTGTGTGGAGAAGCTTTTGAGCTATTGCGAAGTTAATTTAACTAACTCCCTGAACATAGCCCAATGAAGATCCCTATTAGTTTTGAGGTCTAAAGGGAAATTTCAGAAATTCTTTTTGTTTTCACACTTATGTTTCCAACCAATATCTCCTGAAGCCTTTGAGCAGTGAAATTTTATAGCACAGCTGCATATGGGATAAGAAAAAAATCCTATTTATTTTACTGTCAAAAAGATAATTATAAAGGTGAAGGTCGTTAATTCATACATTCTTTTTGTGTGCAAAACTTTCAGGGCGATATCTCAAGTATTAGAAGTTTTATCAATTCAATGTTTTCTCATAACTCCCTGTTGTCCCTCCCATCTTTCATTTTGCCAAAAAGGAGGGGTCATTTAACACTTACCATATCATTAAAAAATATGTAAAATTACATATTACTGTGACATCACTCTTTTTGTGAGGGGTTTAATTTTCGTTGTTTTCAAGGTACAAAGGGACCCAGCTTACATGTCCACTTCTTCAACTTTTCAAATGAAGAAATTCCCATTAACCAATATTTTATCCCCCAACCTTGAAAAGACTCAATGAAAATATGAGATTGTACAGTTTCTTTTTCTATTATGCTACAACTAATGTGTAACTTGATGCGTTCGTGTGTCTTTTCGACAGGGGGCGACGGTCCCTCATATGAATTGTTTTGTTAATATAAAAGAATGAAATAGCTAAACGTAATATTTTACGTACCAACCATATTGATAAGCAAAGAGGATAATTTCTAATAGAATACAAATTACTCTACAAGACTTCATTTTAGGTAATGATCTTATGAAATGAAATGTACTTCTTTGTCACCCATCAAATACACAACTTTCTCCTCTGGCAGAATGAATATATGAACTTCGGAAAAGTTTTGCTTTACATGTATTTCCCTGATTTTACGTGTGCTTACCTCAGTTTGAACTTTTCCTCTTTTGGGTGGCGTATTATAATCTTCTTGTATCCCACTGTCATCTAGACACCTTTTTGTCATTATACTTTTCTACAAAGTACACCAAAAAATGATCATATATATGCATAAAGTTGCTCTACTGCTACAGCTTAACGTCATTTTACACCGGAGAATTTGGTATTATACTAAATCCTAAAGCCTCGAAAATTTTCAATCGTGTTACTACTAGTGTGTAACATGATTCGTGTGTGTGTTTCTCTGGGTGGATTCTTCAAAGTATGAATTGTTGGTTAATATAATAGAATGAAATAACCAAACTTTATTTCAGGTCAATGATTACGTACCCTTTTTCTGGCTTTCTTCTCCTGGCCTAAAGTTGGAGACAGCTGAGAATTATCTGAGGCGGAGGGCGAGGATGGAATTGAAATTGCAGAGTCCTGTGTAGACATAGATGGAAATGTACGTATATTGTAAGTTTTAGTATGGTTAAACACTGAATCATTCTTGTTTCACATAGTGTTAAAAGCATTTTTACCTAACCTCAAATTAAAGATGGTGTTGCAGTTCTTTTGTTATTGTCCCCTGCTTTCACTAAAAGTGGGGGATATTAATTTCAGTCTGTCTGTCTTGCTGTATCTCTGTCTGTCTAAACACTTTTGTTCCTGTGTGATATCTCGAGAAGCTTTAGGGCTTTTTCAAAGAAACAACAACTCTCTAGGAATAACCTTATTAATTTTGAGGTCAAAACGTTAAGGGCATAAGTATATAAATTCTGTCTGTTTTCACGCTTTCGTTTCCACGCAATATCTGAAAAAGCCTTAAAGCTTTTAAATTGAAATTCTACACTACAGCTCTCAATGGGCTAAGAAAGACTTCTATTTATTTTGAGGTCAAAAGGTCAATCATCAAGGACGTTAATTCAAACATTCTTGTTGTGTGTAAAGCTTTTATTTCCAGGCGATATATGAAGAAGCTTTTGAGTTTTGCAATTCATTTTTTTTACCATTCCACCTCCGTATGACCCGCTCTCTCTCTCTCTCTCTCTCTCTCTCTCTCTCTCTCTCTCTCTCTCTCTCTCTCTCTCTCTCTCTCTCTCTCTCTTATTGCCAAAAAGAAGGTCATTTAATACTTACCATATCATTCAAAAATATGAGAATTTAAGATTGCTTTAACGTCACTATTTTTGTAGGGGTTAAATTTTCGTTGTTTTCATTGTACATAGAGACTCACAAATTTATGTCCACCAATAAAGAATGAAAATATGAGATTATACAGGTTTTTTTATTGTGTTACTACTAATGTGTAACATGATGTGCTATTTCGAGGGGGTGTCATTGTATAAATTGATGGTTAATATAAAAGAATGAAATGTCAAAACTTAATATTTCAGGTACTATCCGACTTGCTGGCTTTATTCTTCATCTGGCCTAAAGTGGGAGACAGCTGAGAACTATCAGAGGTGGATGGTGAAGTCGGAACTGAATTTGCAGATTCCTGTGGGGAAAAACGTTCAAGTAAACATAGATGGAAATGTAAATATATTTTACGAGCTAATAGTGTAAAACACTGAAGAATAATTATATATTAACACTTCTATAAAATAATGTTAAAATGCTTGAAAGTACCTAAGTTCTTTTTCTAAGTTAGAGAAATTCTAAATTAAAAGCCATTTACTTACAGTGTCCGCTCTGATCTTCTTCAACGTCATGGAAATCTGCTCATCCAGTTTTAAAGTAAAATTGTCTGTATGTTTTGTCTTTGGAGTGTCCCCATGCTGACACTCGCTCTATATAATGAAGAATAATAAATATTCATTATAATATACCCCTATCATCTACAAACAGTATGAGGTTAATGTCTCTCAGTAAAGCATGTTCTGCGTATGTCATACCTCTTATGACCACATTTTAAAACAAGTCAATCTATGGACAAACAAGTTGACAAAACAAGAATATTAAAGCTGAACACTTCTCATAAATAGGCACTGTCAGACGGGTATATAAACCGTTCGATTTCGTTACACCCGATTGCACTCTCGAAACTCGTGGCCGACATGTAGTATTCCTTTCGGGGTCTTAGATTTTTTGCGCTTATTCCTTGTTTTATGTGCATTTTCTGTTTATAAATAATGTGTTGACCTGTATTTTGCATGATACTTTTGTCCTGTTTTGGAAAAAAATACGTTAAATTCGATAATTTCATCGCGACCGAGTCGCACGGCTGTGTAAGATGTACGTCTACACTCGTTGGATCTCTACAGCAAAGTACATTGAACTGATAAGCGATCTGCTCCTTATATATGGGTTGTAAATTTACTTACCTCGTCATTGGTCATTTGCAAAATTATTTTGTTAAAACAGATTCTGATTGCACACATAAGTACTCTGAAGTTGAATGACATCAAGAAGGTGCTTGAGTTTCTTATTGAAAATATCTATGTGGTTTTTGGAGACCAGGTATTCCAACAATCTATTGGAATTCCCATGGGTACAAATTGCGCTCCGTTATTAGCAGACTTATTTTTATATTCATATGAAGCAGAATTTATGCAAAATCTTATGCGTGAAAAGAAGAAAACACTTGCCGTGGCCTTCAACTCGACATTTAGATATATCGACGACGTATTGCCAATTAACAATGGTAATTTCCATCCCTACGTCGATACGATATATCCTGGTGAGCTTGAGATAGAAGATATCACAGAGTCTGACACTTCTGTTTCATACTTGGATATTTTACTTGAAAAAGACGCTAATGGTAATCTAACAACCAAACTATATGATAAACGTGATGACTTTAACTTTTCTATCGTCAACTTCCCTTACTTATGCAGCAATATACCTTCATCACCTGCATACGGAGTATATATATCTCGGTTGATTCGATACGCAAGAGAATGCTCTACGTACGAACAATTTCTAAAAAGAGGTAAATTATTGACAAGCAAGTTGATGAAACAAGAACACAGCAGTTTCGTTTAAAATCATCATTTCGTAAGTTCTATGGTCGATACAATGACCTTGTCAGCAAATACAATTTATCATTGAGTCAAATGCTGACTGACGTTTTTCATACCAATTGTCAGTCTATTATTTACACACTGAATTGACGACGAATGTTTCCGTTATTTCCTAATCATGACAATGAGCACATGGCGGGTGTGACCGGTCGGCAGGGGATGCTCACTCCACCATGGCACCTGATCCCACCTCTGATGTTTCGGAGGTCCGTGTTTGCTCTGCTCTTATTTTGTATTGTTTTATGGACTTTGAGATTGAATAGTGTTTGTTATCTCTATATCCTTCTTGTAGGGAGAGCGTTGAAGAACGGGAAATATGACGGACTGTGCCTTTTTACGAGTAGTGTTCAGCTTTAACAGACTCGTTTAAGTTATCATTTTACAAATTCTATGGTTGATACAATCACCTTATTAGGGAATACAACCTGTCTTTAAGACGAATACTAACCGACGTGTTTAATATTGTTGGTCAATACTATATATGATGTATATTTTTTACCTTCTGTTTCCACAATACGGTCTTTTGTTTTAATCTTAGTTTGAAAATCTTTGGTTTGATCTAGAAAAATGAAAAACAAACAGAAAAACATTAAAATGAGAAAAATTTCATAATTTCATATTATAATATTTAATTTAGAATTTTATTTCAGAAAAAGCTCGTATATCCTAAATACAAATAACCGAATATCGACAGATGCCACAGGATGCACACTAAACTGTCATCTTTTTAAACGCAGAGGTACATTCTGCAATGTCAATATCATCAAACCTCTGAAATATATGAAAATAAGTGTTACATAAGTATGTCTGGGGCTTATTTTTTCAAGGGAGGGAAACTCATCATTCAGGTTCAGTATTAAGTTCCCTGAAAAATTATCATGTGTAGTTATCATAAGAGGATAACTTCTGATAGAATGCAAACTATTTTACAAGACTGCATATTTGTTAATGATCTTATGAAAGACACTTTTTTGTCACTCATCAATTCCTCAACTTTCTCTTCTAGCAGAATAAATACATGAACTTCTTGAAGTTTTGCGTTACATGTATTTCTCCATTGTGTTTACCTCAGTTTGAACTTTTATTCTTTTAGACGGCGTATAATGATCTTCTTGTTCCTGATTGTCATTCAAACACCTTTTTGTCAATATACTTTTCTACAAAAGGCACATACAGATGAATTAATATGCAGTACGTTTTTTTTAATTGCTACAACTTTACGCCACTTGACAAGTGAGAATTAGGTAATATATGATTTAAGAACATGTGTAAAGTAGTGCTAAAAGGAGGATCATTCACTTTGCATATCATTCAAAAATCATGTTACTACTTATGTGTTACATGATGTGTGAGTTTGTTGTCTCAGGAGGATGCTTCAATGATTGTATGAATTGTTGGTTAATATTATAAAAAATGAAATAGCCATCTTGAAAACTTTGTTTCAAGTCAATGATTACGTACCCACTTGGTGGCTTTCTGCTGGCCTAAAGTGGGAGACGGCTGAGACCCATCAGAGGAGGATGGCGAAGATGGAACTGAATTTGCAGAGACCTTTGGAAAGGAAGCTTACAAGTTAGCAAAGATGGAAATGTACAAATATTGTTCGAGTTAGTATAGCAGCATTCTTGCATCACATAATGTTAAAAGCATCTTTACCTAACATGAAATTAAAGAGGGTGTTGCAGTTCTTTTGTTATTGTCCCCTACTTACACTAACAGTGAGGGTCTTTAATTTCAGTTTGTCTGTCTGTTTCAGATAATAACTCCCTGGGTATGGCCTGAAGAAGATTCCTACTAGTTTTGAAGTCAAATGGCCAAAGTCGTTAATTCATTCTTTTTGTGTGTAAAACTTTCTGGGCAATATCCCGAGAAGCTTTTCAATTTAATTTTTAACCATTACTCTCATGACTTCTCCCACCTTTCTTATTGCCAAAAAGGGGTCATTTTAAAACACTTGCCATATCATTGAAAAATATGACAAATTACAGATTACTGGGGGGTTTACTTTTCGTTGATTTCAATGTACAAAGGGACCCATAAAATCATGCATGTCTTTCGATAAATTTAAAACTCTTATATACATAACTATTCAAAATTCGTCCAATCAAGAAATCCCCATTAACCAATTCTCAAACCTAAAAAAATTGACCCAATGAAAATATGAGATTGTAAGTATCTTTTCTTTTGTGTTACTACTTATATGTAACATAATGCGTGAATGTGGTTTTTTTTTCGAAAAGGGTTCATTCTGTGAATTGTCGGTTGACATAAAAGAATGAAATAACTAAATTTTAATATTTCAGGTGTATACCGACTCGCTGGCCTCCTTATTCTGGCCTGAAGTGGAGGGCAACTGAGATTCAACAAAGGTGGAAGGCGAAGACGGAACTGAATTTACAGATTCCTGTGGAAAAAATTATACAAGTTTAT